TTCATTATGACCAAGTGGGGTTCGTATCAGGTATGCAGGGATGGTTCAACATTAGAAAAACAATCAATGTCTTCCCTCACATAAATAAAACAAAGGAAAATAACCACATGATCATATCAATTGATGCAGAAAAGGCATTTGATAAAATCCAGCACCCACTCCTGATAAAAAAAAACTCAGCAAAATAAGAATAGAAGGGACATTCCTTAGCATAATAAAGGGCGTATATGCAAAACCAACAGCCAACGTTATTCTCAATGGAGGGAGACTGAAACCATGCCCCTTGCGAACAGGAACCAGCTAAGGATGCCCTCTCTCACCACTTCTATTCAGCATTGTAGTGGAAGTCCTAACCAGGGCAATAGACAAGAAAGGGAAATCAAAGGCATCCACATTGGTAAAGAAGAAGTCAGACTATCCCTATTTGCTGATGATATGATTCTATACCTAGAAAACCCAAGAGACTGAGTAAAAAATCTACTGGAACTAATTGAGAGATTCAGCATTGTGGCAGAATACAAGATCAACATCCAAAAATCTGTTGGATTCCTCTAGACCAGCAAATAGATTGCTGGAAAATAAATGAAATCAATACCATTTACAATAACTACCAAAAAATAAAATACTTGGGGATAAATCTTGCCAGGGACACAGAATACCTGTACAAAGAAAACTATAAAAGACTACTTCAAGAAACCATAACAGATCTACATAAATGGAAGAACATACCATGCTCGTGCATAGGAAGATTGAACATTGTGAAAATGTCAATTCTACCCAGAGCAACCTATACATTCAATGCAATCCCAATCCAGATCCTATTAACATTCTTTAAGGATATGGCAAAAACAGTCACTAGCTTTATATGGAAAGGCAGAGACCTCGAATGAGCAAAGCACTATTGAAGAACGAAGTAGGAGGTCTCAAACTGCTGGATCTCAAAACCTACTAAACAACCACAGTAGTCAAAACTGCCTGGTATTGGTATGATGACAGACATATGGACCAGTGGAATTGAATTGAGCACCTAAAAATAGATCCATTGACCTTTGACATTGGGCCAAAATCCATTAAATGGGGAAGAGAGTGTTTAATAAATGGTGTTGGCAAAACAGGGTATCTTTGAAGATAAATGAAACAAGATCTGTACCTCACACCATACACAAAAAACTAACTCCATATGGATCAAAGACTTAAATGTGAAACCTAAAACCATAAAGTTACTCAAGGAAAAACTAGGGGCAGATTTAGGGGTGCTAATATATGGCATAGGAGCTCTGGTAGCATAGTACCTAAGGCACTTGACTGCTAACCAGAAGGCCGGCGGTTCAAACCCACCAGACACTCCTCGGAAGGAAGATTGGGCATTGTACTTCTGTAGTGATACTGCCTCGGAAATCCAAGGAGGGGTCACTATGAGTTGCATCTAACTCGACAGCACATAACAACAACAATATATGGCACAGGAGCTCTGGTAGCGTAGTGCCTAAGGCACTTGACTGCTAACCAGAAGGCTGGTGGTTCAAACCCACCAGCCACTCCTTGGAAGGTTGGGTAATCTACTTCCGTAGTGATACCACCTGGGAAACCCAAGAAGGGGTCACTATGATTTGGGTCCAACTCGACAGCACATAGAACAACAAATACATGGCATAAATAGTCTATCAAGCATAACCCCAAATGCACAAACAGCAGAAAAGAAACCAGATGAATGGGACCCTCTAAAAATTTAATTTTTATGTGCTTCCAAAGACTTCTCCAAAAGAGTCAAAAGAGAAACTACAGATTGGGAAAAAAATATTCAGCAATGACATAAATGACAAGGGGCTTACCTCTAGAATTTTTAGAAAACTTTAACATCTGAACAGCAAAAAGACAAATAATCCAATTGAAAGGGGAGAAGACATGAATAGACACTTCACCAAAGAGGATATTCAGATGGCCAACAAACATATGACGAAATGCTCATGATCAGTAGCCATTAGAGAGATGCAAATCAAAACAACAGTGAGATACCATCTTGCCCCAGCACTAAGAGCAGAGTTCAACAAGATGGAAAATAACAAATGCTGGTGAGGATGTGGAGAGATTGGGACTGTCATATTCTGCTGGTGGGACTGTAAAATGATACAACCACTGTGGAAAGCAGTATGGTGATTCCATAAAAATTTGGAATTAGAAATACCATTTGAGCCAGCCATTCCATTACTAGGTATATATTCTAAAGAAGTGAGTGCCAGGACAAGAACAGATATATGAACACCCATGCTCATTGCAGCACTATTTACATTAGCCAAAAGATGGAAACAACCTAGGTGTCCATTAACTGAAGAATGGATAACCAAACTATGGTACATACACACAGTGGAATACTAATGCAACCCTAAAGAATAATGTAGAATCTTCAGAAAACCACATAATGTGGCTGATCTTGGAGGACATTAAGCTCAGTGAAATATGTCGGTCACAGAAGGAAAAATATTCTCTCAGTCCGTTACTGTAAAAAGTCAAGGAAAGGTTTATATATGGAAGGAAATTTTCTTTGTTGGTTACCAGGAGTGGGAGGAGAGAAGAGGGAACACTGTTAGGTAGAGACAAGTATTGATTTGTGTGAAAAGAAGGGCAGTGTACCAAATGTGAGTGATCAACACGGTGGCATTGAGGAAGGAGACATAGTGAGGTGCACGGTAGGTACAGACAACAAAGATGAACCCTTTTGCACATACAGTACGGCGTTGTCAATGAAGGCAAACGTGGATATACAGGTGGATAGATGGATGGACAGGTTGAACTATTATGTATGTCTGTATGGGGGAGGTGTACCCAATACCATGTATAGGTTTGGCAGAGAGTGTTTCTACAAGTGTACTGCTATGTTCTGTAAGAATTCCCAGGTATATAGTAGAGCTGAGAAGGGTCAAAGTTGTAGTCACTTTTTGGCCACAGTCAGCTACCCAGAGGGAGCAAGTAGTTGAACCTGCAAGCTCAGGACCATAGTCGCAAGGGATATCAAGCTCAATTAGTGTAACATACTGCACAAAACATTGTTCCACATCCATTTTGGCGAGTAGCAACTGGGATCTTAAAAGCTTACAAGCAGCCATGTAGATGCAATGATGGGTCTCTCCTCATCCAGAGCAAAGAAGAATAAAGAAAACCAAAGATTCATGGAAACAATTTGTCCAAGTGACTGGTATACCATGCAGTCCTCAGCCTATACAACTATGAGACCAGAAGAATTAGATGGTGCCCAGCTACCACTGTCAGCCACTCAGAGGGGGATCTATGTAGGAGATCCTGGATAGAATGGGAGAACAATGTGGAACAAAACTCAAAATCATTTTAAAAAAAGAAACCAGAGAAACCAGGTTTACTGGTCTGATAGAGCCCGATGGAACCATTGAGACTATGGCCCCTAGCTGCGCTTCAGGTCTGGAATTGAACCTACTCCTGTGGTTTCCAGCCGAACAAAAGACAGGCATATGAGCTCAACATTTCCAATAGGTATTTACACTCCCTGGAGAGAACAGTCATGGGAGAATAGAAGGGCTGTGTATGCACAGAGAGACAGGTCAGGGGGCAAGAGTGCATGGAGGGAAGGACACAGGAAAGAGGTAACTATGGGGAGGAAGTGGGAGGGGAGCTGTTGTATTGTGGTAAATTGTAGTCAATGTCATGAGACAGTGTATGTGAGCTGCTGTATGGCTAGTGAGTTTGCTCTGTAAACTTTCACCCAAATCACAATTTAAAACAAAACAAAACAAAAATAAGGGTTACTCAACCATGGTAGGATTGACATGTTGGACTTGATAATTTATTGTTGTGGAGGACTGGCCTATGCATTGTAGGCTTGTTTAGCAGCATCCCACTAGATGTCATAAGCATCCCTCCTGTAAAAACCAAAAATGTCTCCATATATTTCCAGATGTCCCTCTCTGGCAGAATTACCCCCAGTTAAGAATGGCTGCCTTAAAATTATTTATTTTGACATTTTGCCTTTCTCTTTCAATAGAATACATTATGTGTTAGAAGTAATCATCATACAGTTGTAGAAAGGGGTTGTTAAATCACCTTGGTGCTTAGTTCTAGACATTGATTTTTAGTTAAAATCCTTAAAACTGTTTCTGTTTTAAAAGGTTATTTTAGTTTTTAATTTGAAGTTTGGCAATACCTTCTCAGATGGTTATGTAATGGTCGTTCCTTTTTTGACTAGCTTTTGGAATTAAACTTGATTGCCTAATAGGAAATGCTTTCCTGGAAAAAGTAAATATAGCCATAAGAGTTTATTCAGAAATACTTGACAGTGGTTTCAAACTGGTTTAAAATGAAATGAATTAGGTTCTCAACAGTCAAAGAAAAGGAAGGAATTTCTTTCTGCAAATAATCATTGGGAACAAAACTGTGGACAAAAAAAGGGCAGGAGCAGGGTGAAGGAGAATCAAAAGGGGAAATTCAATGTGATATTAGGACGTATTATCGGTAAGTTAAGTAGAAGTGTTGGGGCTTTTTATCAGCTGGCTTTTATTGGACCTAATAGGGAGCTTTGGTGGCATAGTGCCTAAGTATTTGATTGCTAACCAGAAGGCTGGTAGTTCAAACCACCAGCCACTCCTCTTGGAAGGAAGGTTGGACATTCTATTTCCGTAGTGATACCGCCTCGGAAACCCAAGGAGGGGTCCCTAGGAGTCAGATCCGACCCAATGGCAGTGGGTTTGGTTTTTGGTTTTTAGAAAATATTTAATAAGATCATAGGAAGAAAGAGAATCCGACAAAATGGAGTTTTGGCTTCCTTTTCTGCATAGTAAAATTAAGTTTACATAAATTGGGTCTGTTTCCAGTGCATGAACAAGCAATTGAAGACTATTCTCATAAATTCTGAGCATAAATGAAAGGAAATAGATGTTGTTAACAACTTGCTTTCATAAGAATTCTTTGCTATAGCTGTTTCTCTCCATCATACTTCTTGGAATATATCTAACACATTCTTATCATTTATTTAGGGATTATGTTAGAAGTGAACTGGAATCTGCCTATGAAGGACCAATGTATTTAGAACCTCTCTCCATGAATCGGTTTACCACAGCCTTAATAGGTAAGTTTTACAAAAGACGTAGAAGAATAGATGGGAACTAACACGTTTTATACTTCCTTATAAAATTGGTGAATACTTAACAAAAAAAAACCCAAAATTAGAAAACTTAAAAGTAATTCATGGTGATTTTTTCGAAATACAGCCATTGTTAGATGTTATAGTTACTTAGTCTTTTCATGTGCATAAATGTTTATTTTATCTATTTATTGTACTATACGTATCCCATAGGAGTCCCTGGGTGGTACAGATGGTTAAGTGCTTGACTGACTACTAGAAACGTTAGTAGTTTGAATCCACCCATTGATGGCCTTGGAAAGCAAGCCTGCTTCCAAAAGGTGACAGCCTTGAAAACCCTATGGAGTGTTTCTCATCTGCATGCACAGGGTTACCATGAGTCAGAATCACCTCTATAGCAACTAACAACCACGAACATACATATCCCATAGTTGCTTCTTTCTTTTTTAAGGGTATCTTAAGAATTTGAGAAAATTAATTTTTAAATAAAACCTATTACTACATGTAAGATTAAAATGAAATATATCATGTTTGACATGTATTTATTGTTCATGAAAGCTGTCACTCTATTAAAAACAAACAAACAAACTCATTGCCATTTGAGTCGATTCCGACTCATAGTGACCACCTTTTGGTTTCTGAGACAGTAAATGTTTACAGAAGTAGATGGCCCAGTCTTCCTTCTGCAGAGTGGCTTGTGGGTTTGAACTGCCAAACGTACACAGTCAAATGCCTTAGGCACTACACCACCAGAGCTCCTTCTAGTTAAATAAAAATAAATTTCTAGAAACCTCAAGAACATGTCACATGATTGAAATAATCAGGTGGCAGAATGTTAAAAATAGAAATGCTGGCTAAAGCCAAAGATTATATGGAAGTACCAGACCTTATCATGATTGTGTTGCAAGAGAGGAAGTGAGAGAAAACCTGTTTTGTGACTCTTAAACTCATCCAAGTTGAGGGTATTAAAAGGTCAAGTATTGGAGACTGGAGTTCTTCAAAGAGAGCAGTTTTCTCTGAAACATCTCCCTACTCCCGCACATCTAAAGAATTACGTATTTTTATGGAAATAGCATGTGCCATATTTAAAAAAAAAATAAACTGGCATAGTGGCACTTACAAAAACACTTCCCAGGAGGAAGCAGCAGTTGGTAAACAAATGTAGAAGGGATATATTGTTATTTGCATAAAAATACTATAAGTAGTAGACTACTTAGAGACATTTGACACAGAGTGCCTGTGGCTCAGGGATACTTTGGACTGATGTTTGACTCAGACCTGGGAATCTAAAGTTGCAGCATCCAAACTAGCACTTAAAATATGACTAGTTCAAATTAAGGGATGCTGTAAGTATAAAACGCACACTCGATTTGGAACACTTAGTATGAAAAAGAATGCAAAATGTCTCAGTAATTTTTACATAGACTAAATGTCTGTGTGATAGTATTTTGATTATATTAAGGAGCTCTGGTGGTGTATATTACATTGAATGAAATAGATTGTTACATTAATTTCATCAGTTTCTTTTTTTTTTAAATGTAGCTGCTAGAAAATTTTAAATTATTTATGTGGCTCATATTATAATTCTAATCTGATCCAAACATAGAGCAATGGGCTTGGTGCCTGTTGAGTGTTTGGACTGTAGAGTGAAAATGACTTGTAGAATTCTCCTCTATCTTCTGATTTGTGGCGGCAAAGGATGTGATTGCCCTGTGGTCTAGATGAGGGCCCCAAGAATCTATGTGGATTTTTTTTTTTTTTGTATTTTATTGAAATATAATTTATGTACAGTGAAAAATACACAAAACTAAAGTGATAGGGTCAATGATTTTTTTTTTTTTTTTGCAGTGTTCCCTCCCTCCCCTTCAACCCCTGTAAATCAACAAAGAAAGTTTCCCTCCATATATATAAACTTTTCCTTGACCCGCCCCAACACTGAACTAATACTGTATTTGTCCTTCTGTGATTGACTTATTTCACTCAGCATAATGTCCTCCAAGTTGATCCATATTAATGCGGTGTTTTGCAAACTCTACATTATTCTTTAGTGCTGCATAGCATTCCAGTATGTTATGTACCATAGTTTGGTCATCCACTCCTCCACTGATGGGCACATAAGGTTGTTTCCATTGCTGTGATGAACATGAGCGTGCATCTGTTTCTATCCTGGCTCTCACCTCTCTAGGATATATACCTAATAATGGGATTTCTGGGTCAAACTCCAATTCCAACTTTTAAGGAATCGCCATATTGCTTTCCACAGTGGTTGTGTCACTTCACAGACACAAGCAGTGTCTGAGAGTCCCAATCTCTCCACATCCCCACCGGCATTTGTTATTTTCTGTCTCATTGAACCGTGACATCAGTGCTGGGGTGAGATGGTATATCTCACTGTTGTTTTGATTTACATCTCTCTGATGGACAGTGATTGTGAGCATCTTTTCATGTATTAGCTGACCACCTGAATATCCTTCTTGGTGAAGTGTCTATCCATGTCTTCTGCCCATTTTTCATTTCGATTGTTAATTCTTTGGTGTTGAGGCTTTGGAGTTTTCCATCAGTCTTAGAGATTAAGTCCCTTGCCAGATATGTAATTATCAGCAAATATGAATTTGTTGCTGTCATTTTTGTCATGTGCTTTTTCATTGTGTCGATTTCTTTGTTCCATATAATTTTCTATGCTGAGCTCATTTTGTTTATGAATCATGTTATCTCTTCCTTCATTGCTGTTTTAGTATTTGCTGAATTATTATGCTGGTCCTCTTTTTTATTTTGATGTGAAGGTTCATCATTTTTCTTTGAGGTTACCCTGTGATTTATAGTTTTCTTCCCAAGTTTAGAACAGTCCGTTCTATCTTGTAGTTGTCTTGACTTCCCTACCATCTACAAGTTCTGTAACAACACAGGTTTTTTTCTCTCCTTTTGGTTTGTCGTTGTCCTCATTTGTGGGTTGGTGTCTCTGGTTCCCTGTTTACAATCTTGTAGGCTTATTTACTTTGGATACTTCCATAACTGGGTTGGTTTCTGGGTTATATCATCAGGTGTGTTGATGGTCAGTTGTTGTTGACTGTTACTTTTTTGTCCAAAGAGCTCCCTTTAGCATCTCTTGTAAGGTTGGTCTGGTTTTAACAAATTCCCTTAATTTCTGCTTCTCTAGAAATGTCCTAATTTCACCATCATATTTGAGGGACAGTTTTGCTGGGTACATAATTCTTGGTTGGAAATTTTTCTCTTTCAGTGTTTTATATATATCATTCCCACTCTCTTCTTGCCTGCATGGTTTCTGTCAAGAAATCCGAGCTTAGTCTTATTGGTTGCCCCTTGTAGGTAACTTTTTGTTTTTCCCGTGCTGCTTTTAGGATTCTTTCTTTGTCTTTGGTTTTGGTGAGTTTGATGATGATATGTCTTGGTGTTTTTCTTTTGGGGTCTATCCTGTTTGGGGTTCGTTGGACTTCCTGAATGGATATATTCTCATCTTTCATCATATCAGGGAAGTTCTCCAACAAATCTTGGACAATTTTCTCACTGGTTTCATTTTTCTCTTCCTGTTCTGGAATTCCAATGATATGTAGGTTATTCCTTTTGATGGTACCCAACATGAACCTTAGGGTTTCTTCATTTTGTTTTGATCTTTTTTCTGATTGATCCCTTTCCAAAGAAGTATTCAGGTATTTGTCTTCAGTCTCATTAATTTTGTCTTCCATTGCATCAATTCTACTCCTCTGCCCTTTCAATGTGTAATCTATTTCTGACAATTTAGTATTAATCTTCTGGATTTCTATCTGTAGATTTAGAATCATTTCTAATTTTTCATTTATTTTGTCATTTTGTTCTTGTATTTGAATTTTTCCAGAATTCTTCTAAGGTTTTGTCTGTGTTTTACTTGGTCTGTCTCTCAGTCCTTTGAAGATACCTAAATATAATTCTTTTGAATTCCTTATCAGGGAGTTCTAATGCTGCATCTTCTTCGGGGATGTGTTTTGGGTCTGTATCCTAGTCACTTGTTTCTTCTGTTTTATCTTGCTTCTTTATGTGGAGTGTGATGCTCGTTGTCTCCAAGGCATTGTGATGATTTTGTGTTTATATTTAATTGGTGATTATATGTTGGATTGACTTGACCACAGTTTTCGTTTTCTTTGTTCTGTTTGTATGTTACCTATGCAGGAAGGGTGCTGTGCTGTGCTTTTCTGTTGACTAGTTGACAGCACTTACACATTCACCACCTGTCTCCTTTCCTTTGTCAGCCTCTCATATGTCCTTGCCGACCCTGGCAAACAGGGCCTGTTCTTAGGTCCCTGGAATCTGAATGAGAATGCTGTCACTTTAAAATCTAAAATGGTTGCCACTTGAAAGCATTGAAAATAGCCGCCGCTTGTAAACATTCAAAATGACTGCGCCCTCCAGACAGCAGCAGAAAGTCCACAGCTCATGTTGTCTCCCTCCTTGCTGTTTCCCTTCCTAGTCATAGGCCACCAGAGCAGTTGTGCCTGCAGCCTTTGGTGACTGGGACTGATCTTTAGGTCAATGCTCAGGTCCCAAAACCACTTGGAAATACTCAGGCTCTTGGTCTCATCAGAGTAGCTGACAGTCCGCAACTCTGATTATCTCTGTACTCACTGTTTTCGTTCGGGTTTTTCCACTAGTTGGTGCCTAATCCACTTCTGTATAGTTTTCTTCAAAGCTCAGCATTCCAGGAGTATCTTCTATATCTCTATCAATTGGTTTTTCTTTTCTTTTTTGAAGAGGGTCTGTGTTGCTTATCTGCCTATTTCTCCATCTTACTGGAAGTCTATGTCGATTTTCTTAAGCCCTATCTAAGAGGGCCCCTTTAGAGGGATGAGAAGACCCAATTGGGGATTGAACTTCCCAATTTCTAGGAGCAGAGGAGAGAACCAGAAACAGCTAGAGGAAGTGACAGGCATTGAAAGTGCTGCAGATGAATGATGCATAGTGATGGGAACAATCTCAGAAGAACCCAGGAGAAAGTAAGTCACTTTTAAATAGCCCAGGTCCAGAGAGTACTAGTGGCAAAGCATCATGACTACAGGTCAAGGAAGAATTTTACTACTTCCCCCATCTTTGTTTTCCTCCCTACCTATTTCAGTCCTTGTTGAGTCAGGGGAACAGTTGTAGATGGCTGTGCTAGGTAAAGAAAGGACGATGCCTGCCACCACCTTTCTACCTCCTTTCCCAACTGCAGGCCCTTTAGGAGACCTGAGCTAGAGAAAGGAAGAAGCTTCCATTTAAATCATTTCCAACATTTTGGTTATTATTGGATTGAGACTGTATAATTTAAGAGAAATTAGAAAAGTTACAGGTCTTGCCTTAGATTTCATCAAGGCATGAGAAGAACTAATTTTCACAGAGTGGGTTTGAAAAGATAGGATAGTATTTGGGATATGACAGAGATAAAATTGATTTATGAATATATCCTGTGAGTCGGTGTGTTCAATAATGGTGACATTCAATTATGAAAACATTTTTCTAGGTTTGAAAGCTTGTGTTTGTTTTGTGACAGATGAATTTAGTATAAATCTGAAGTCTAAATTATTTTGTCATTGACTATGGTAGTCTGTGCCTAGTATATACTCAACTAATACTCATTTAATTGGAAATAAAAACAATATCCAAAGCACTTTTCTTTTCTTTTTCCAACTTTGATTTCAAAGTAACATACTTTGATTTTAAAATAACTTCCCACTCCTTTTCTTCCATGTCATAAAGAACTCTTAATGAGAAACGAAGTAATTCGAACATGTTGTCATAACTTGGAGCTATTTAATAGTGTAATCCTGAAATCCAAAGAGTGCATTGTGATTTTGATTTGTTCAGAATTGCCAGATGGAATAGGATCATCAAAAAAATAAGTAACTTTATTTTTCTGGCGCTACAGGGGAAATTCCTCTTAACAATATGACCCCTTCCTTCTTTCACATAGTCTCTTAAAAAGACTGTATCAAATGAGTCATATTCTTCTGTGGAAGAGGACAAATGAAGCCTGTAACCCCAGAGCTGAGCACTGCATGTGCTGGCATAAACTTAAGGGAATTTTCAGTGCTTAGAGGAAGTTTACATCATGCAGAACAAAGAGATCTAAATACTAGTGCTATGAATACAGTGAAAGTAAGATATGCTAGAATGAAAATTTCTAATCATTTTTAATTTTAAACATTTCCTTCAGTGTTTTAACTTTCTAGTTTAATCCTTCAGTGTTTTAACTTTCTAATTTAATTTTTATTTTTCATTAAAGAAATGCATGTACTTATTTTTAAAAGTCAGTTGATAAAGATCAATACTCTCTTGCCCCACCCCTCCTTATTTTCATGTCGCATTCCCTGGAAACCTCTTTCAACTCTTACTAATTTCTTCCCTCCTGTTTTCTCTTGTCCTTTCCTGGAAATCCTGTTGGATATGAATGTTCCTACATTAACTCCCTGATTTTCTCACTGTTCTGTTCTCCTTTTCTCTCTCTCTCTTAGATTTTTGTTTTGCTTTCTGAGGGTTTTCTGAACTTTTACCCATTTATTGCATTTTTATTTCTCATGCATATTTTGAATATTCAAAAGCTCGTTTTTTTCTGAATGCTGCTTTTATTATAGCAGTCCCTTAGTTCATAGATATATACCTCTTTGATGCCATTATGACTTTTTGAAGCTTTCTTTTGCTCATTTGAATTATGTCCATCTCCTCTGAGTTCTTTTTCTTTTCTTTTCTTTTTTTGGGGGGTCTTTGTCTTTCTTGATAGAGCAAATCAAAAAAACCAAACGCACTGCTGTCACATTGAGTCCAACTCATAGTGACCCCTCTTTGGGTTTCTGAGGCTGTATCTCTATGGAAGTAGATTGCCCAACCTTCCTTCTGAAGAGTGGCTGGTAGATTTGAACCGCCAGCCTTCTGGTTAGCAGTCAGATGCCTTAGGCACTAAATCACCTTGATATATTTTTAAAATACAATAACTGATGCCTAAGCCCATTTGACACTGATTGAACCATAAGCTAGTTAAATCAAATCTGGGGATCCTTGGCTGATCACTTGTATTAAAGTGAGCTAGTAAGTTGTTGATGAGAAGCTTATTAGGGTTTACCAGCTTGTGTGTTCCACAGTGGGCAATCAAGTAGAACTGCCTGGTTTTTGGGGGGAGGGATTTGTCAGTGGGCGCTTTGGTGGCATAGTGCCTAAGGCATTTGACTGTTAAACCAAAGGCTGGCAGTTCAAACCCATCAGCCACTCCTCGGAAGGAAGATTGGGCAATCTACTTCTATAGAGACACCACCTCGGAAACCCAAGGAGGGGTTGTGTTGAGTCGGATCCAACTCAGTGGCATTGAGTTTGGTTTGGTTTGATAGATCTTTATAATTAATTGTACTGGCCAGTTTCCCCAAAGAGGAGTCTTTCTATTCCCTGTAGGGGCAGCATATGGCAGTAGATAGAGCTATGTGGCAGTAAACTTGAGAGTGAGTGTTCAGGGAACAGAGAAGATCTCATCTTCTGACATGCAGACTTATTTAATTCCCTAGTTTTTCATTCTTCCATGGGGGAAAGAGTAATGGTTTGGATGAAACTATAGTGGCTTGCCTTGCATCTCTTTTGTTCTCCATTTTCCAAAATGTTGTTTACATAGCTCATTTGGTGGCCTTTCCTCATGTTATCTTTATCTTTGTGGGTTTTTCTCTTTTTTGTGCTTTTATAAATGTTTGTCATATTATTTGAGTATCAGTTCTTTAAAGGCTAAAATCAATGCTTCATGGGAGAAGGTACCACATATATTTTTAAGATAGTATATTGTTTATATAGGGAGCCGTAGTAATGCAGATGTTAACATTATTATATCATATGCAGTCATTATACTATACCATTAAAAAAAAAAACCTCACTGCCATGGCTTCATATCCCACTCGTAGCGACCCCTCCTTAGGTTTCCAAGGCTGTATCACTGTGGAAGTAGATTGCCCAATCTTCCTTCCAAGGAGTGGCTGGTGCGTTTGAACCTCCAGCCTTCTGGTTGGCAGTCAGATGGCTTAGGCGTTATGCCACCAGAGCTCCTGTAATGTGCCATACACCTGTTAAAAATAAACATGTATATGTATGTTGTTGGTTGTTATTAGATGCTGTTGACTCCAACTCTGTGACTTAATGTGCAACAGCACAAAACACAGGCCAGTTCATAAATATGTATGGTACAATAAATACGTATAATACATACTTATTAATATGGAAAGATATACAATGTACTACATGAATAAAACTGGTTACAGAAAAGTATACACACTATGATGGTTTTTTAAAAACATTTATGAATAGCTAATTTATTAGCACCTACTATGCTTCTAATACAAAGTTAATTACTAGCACAAAGTTTTTTTTTGTTTAATTTACTGATTTTGTTTCATTATTAACAATTGACACACACACGGTTTTGATGGCAACAACTGCTGTAGTTGCATTCAAGTTGTTTCCAACTCAAAGCAACCCTAAAATACAACAGAATAAAACACTGTTCTAATACAATTCTAGGGCTTTGCATGCAATAACTTCATTTAATGCATGATGGGAGATTATTTCTTTCATTTTGATTTTCTATCATATGTGTGTGTGTGTGTATAATTCTGTGTAACCTTCTGTGAGAAGACTTTATTTAAACTTTTCAGTTTTAACTTTCATGATTGAGTCCTTTGGGGAGGCTATGTGGTCCTGTAAAAACAATTAAGATTGAAAACCTTAGAACAAATCTCATTGTAATGTGATCTTGAACAAGTAACTATCTTTTCAATTTTATGCTTTCATTATAGACTAGAACAATTCAATGTAGAGTACCTTTGGAAAACCCTACATATAAATGACAGTAACAGAATTGTAGTATTATATTTGACATGGTTTACAACTTTCACCATATTGTACATGCCATCTGGAACATGAGGAAGACTAGTAGAGATACGTGCTTTCAGGTCAATCCCAGAGAATTGATTATATTCAAAATTCAACAAAGGTGAATGTATAATTATGTCATATGATGTTAAAATTAGATTTAAAATATATCCAAGAGATCTAATATGTTAGACTTCTTCAAAAGCAGCCTGTTAGACTACTAATAAAGCCACCATCATCTTTGTATACAGTATTTCTTGTTTTTTGTTATTTTGTGGATACTAATTAGCGTATTCTCTCTTTAGGTCAGCTGGTGGTGTGTACTTTATGCTCCTGTGTCATGAAAACAAAGCAGATTTGGCTCTTTTCAGCTCACATGCTTCCTCTGCTAGCACGACTCTGCCTTGTTCCTCTGGAGACTATTGTTATCATCAACAAATTTGCTATGATTTTTACTGGATTGGAAGTTCTGTATTTTCTTGGGTCAAATCTTTTAGTACCATATAACCTTGCTAAGTCTGCGTATAGAGAATTGGTTCAGGTAAGAAAGGCAGCCACACACAGGTAGATAAAATACTTCATAAGTATCAAATGCATTACAGGTTTAGTTCATTTTTCTTTAAGAACCATAGTCGTGATAACATCCTGTGTTATAGTTTCCAAGTAGCAGTTATTTTTAACTGAGATTTTAAGATGAGATTGTATATGAAGTTCTTTTGAGAGGCAGTAAAATGAAATGATTCTCTGGAGGAGACTATCTGGGTTCATCTCCTGGTGCTGCCATTAACTAGCTACGTAACCTTGGGATAATCACTTACCCTCACTATCTGTAAAATGGAGCTAAGAACAGTTGCACCTTTCTCATCTGGTTGCTGTGAGATTTAAATGAGTTAGTGTATATCCAGCCCCTGGTTCAATGACAGGCAGATGGTAAGTGTTCAGTATATTTTAGTTATTGTAATGAAGATAATAGTATAGTAAAACTTGTAAAAGCCACAACTTATAAAAGGAGGAGACCTGTCAAAGACGACGAATACTTTCCACTAGTACAGAGGATAGAAAAGTGGTAAGACTTCACTTTATCAAAAAAATAAAACTTGCAAGACCTGGATAAATAAGGCAGTCCCATCAAGTTGCAACTCTCACAGGTTTCACTATGAAAAAGAAGTGAATACCTAGATGTCAAATCATGATTTTTCTCCTTATATGGTCCTGCTGTGAATACAGGTCCCTTTGCCTAATTTTTTAAAGCTAAAAAGTTGAAAGTTCTGGGTTATAAGTGATGAATTTCATGCCAGTATAATGTGTTTCTTAGGGTCTAGCCTCTTCCCTACTTTTTTTAGTATTTGCTCTAAAGTACATTACTCCATGACACACACAATAGACAATTTGAGAGAGAAATATTTGTTTGATTTATTCCATAATTAAGCTTCAGTGTATAAAATAGATCTTAAAATTGGTATGGTACAAATGGGCATTCTCTTCTACCTCTTGACCATGTATCTGTAGTATTAAGGTACAGGAAGCTCTCAGATTGACCACATTGATAAGACTCAGTGAAGCTACCCTTGTAGCCCCAGGAGATCTTCAAGAAAAATTTTCCTAAGTTATTGGCCTTAGTTTGGTTCTTCCTTCCTTCCTTCCTTTATCTTATACAGTTCACTTGGATCATTTTCTGGGAGGTAACTTTTCCAAAGAAGAGGAAGCTATTTCCACATTGAGTGAAGAGTTGCTCCATGGGGAAAGGTTGTAGTTGTATTCAGAGTAAGGATGGCAAATTTAGTTTATGTGTTTTTCTCATTTGAATCTACTCTTGTGGAACTTTCTTAGTTTCTAATAAACAGATATTGAGTAAATATTTATAAATGAATTTTAACTGTTTAAAAATCATAAGGACAGAGCCTCCATTTTTTAATGTCATGCTTACTCTCTTGGCTGCCATAAAACTTGTATATCACCAGGTACAGATCGGGAAAATGAATTACAGACTAGGAAATTTGTAACTAGGGAAGAATTGCATAGGGCATTACGTGATTTGGACTTTGTGCAAACACCATATTAAAATCTTATGGAAGCCCTCTTCTGTTTGTCCTTTTTGGTGCTGCTGCTTTTCCTAGCAAAGAAAGGAAGAAGAATATTCTCTGTCCCCAAATGATCGCTTTACCTCTCTTGATAATTTTGCAGCTAGATGGCCAATTTTCTTTTAATATTTTCTAGTTGGGGAAAAAAGAGATTAATTGTGACTAAGTTTTTTTGTAGATCACGAATTTGTTTTACAGATGAAAATATTTTCAATTTAGAATCCGTAAGTCAATCTAACTGTGCTTAATACTTAAAAGATCTCTATTACTTAATAGTAATCTGGATAGAGCTTTGATATAGGAATTTATGTTTTGCAAATTATTTCTTTTAGTCACATTGCAGTACTTCATATTTAATTAAGATAGAATTTCATTTGGTTCTGGCAATGCAGGGAGATACTAACATAATAATTGAGGTACATTTGTTGAAGAATGGGAATTCCAGAATACTTAATTGTGCTCATGCACAATCTACACATAGACCAAGGGGCAGTCATTCAAACAGAACACAGGGATGTTGTGTGGTTTAAAATTAGGAAGGGTGGGCGTCATAGTTGTATCCTTTCACGATACTTATTTAATCTATATGCAGCGTAAATAATCTGAGATGGTGGACTACATGAAGAATATGACATGAGGATTGGAGGAAGACTCATTATCTCCCTCCAATATGTAGATGATACAGTCTTGTTTCCTGAAAGCAAAGAGGACTTAGAGTACACTTACTGATGAATATCAAAGACTACAGGCTTCATTAGGGATTATACCTCAACATAAGACAAAAATCCTCTCTAGACCAATAAGCAACATCATGATGAAGGGAGAAAAGATTGCAATTGTCAGAGATTTCATTTTACTTGGATCCATAATCAATGCCCATGAAAGCAGCAGTCAGGAAATCAAACAATGTATTTCACTGGGCTAATGTGCTGCAAAGGAGCTCTGGTAGCATAGTGCCTAAGGCACTTGACTGCTAACCAGAAGGCTAGCAGTTCAAACCCTCAGAAGGAAGATGGGGCAATCTATTTCTGTAGTGATACTGCCTCGGAAACCCAAGGAGGGGTTGCTATGAGTCGGGTCCGACTCAATGGCACATAACAACAACAACAACGTGCTTCAAAATACCTCATAAAGTATCAAAAAGCAGTTAAGGTGCACCTGATTCTCCCCCCCCCCCCAGGAAAAAAACACCAAACACATTGCTGTTGAGTCAGATCTGACTCCTGGTGACCCCTCCTTGGGTTTCTGAGCCCGTATCACTACGGAAATAGATTGCCCAACCTTCCTTCCGAGGAGTGGTTGGTGGGTTTGAACTGCCAGCCATCTGGTTAGCAAGTCAAATGCCTTAGGCACCATACCACCAAAGCTTCTTGTGCCTGACCCAGTGCATGGTATTTTCTGTCACCTCATATGCATGCAAAAGCTGGTTGTGAATAAAGAAGACCAGAGAAGAATTGATGACCAAAAGAACAAACAAATCTCTCTTGGAAGAAGCACAGCCAGGGTGCTCCTTAGAAAGTGATTATGGTGAGACTTTGTCTCTCATACTTTGGTCACACTATCAGAAGGGACCAGTTCCTGGAGAAAGATAACATGCTTGGTAGAGGGTCAAAGAAAAAGGGAAGGCCCTTAGTGAGATGGATTGACACAGTGGCTGCAACAACAGGCTCAAGCATAACAATGATTGTGAGGATTGCAGGACCGGACAGTGTTTTATTCTGTTGTATTTTAGGGTTGCTTTGAGTTGGAAACAACTTGAATGCAACTACAGCAGTTGTTGCCATCAAAACCGTGTGTGTGTCAATTGTTAATAATGAAACAAAATCAGTAAATTAAATAAAAAAAAAAAAACTTTGTGCTAGTAATTAACTTTGTATAGTGCTAACTTTAAAGGAATTTAGCTGAAACAATTTTCAATAACAAGATACTTAATTTTTCTCATTAGGTACTTTAATCTGTTTAAATGTATTTACTGAAGTGATATGATATGTTTGTCTATATGAACTGATAAAATCTTTTTTTTATTCAGGTGGTGGAGGTATATGGCCTTCTAGCCTTGGGAATGTCTCTGTGGAATCAACTAGTAGTTCCTGTTCTTTTTATGGTTTTCTGGCTTGTTTTATTTGCTCTTCAGATTTACTCCTATTTCAGTACTCGAGATCAGCCTGCATCACGTGAGAGGCTTCTTTTCCTTTTTCTGACAAGGTAATTAAGATCATATGGTACTGTATATAGCCATAGGAAGTTAAGACTTTGATCTAGGAATAGTACGTTTTGTGAATCATCTCTATTAATCGCAGTCCAGTAATGCATATTTAATTAAGATAGGATTTCATTCAGGTCTCGCAGTGTTGTTATGTGTCGTCGAGTCACCTTCAACTCATAGTGACCCTATGCAGAGCAGAATGAAACACTGCCTGATCCCACGCCAGCTCCATGATCCCTGCTATACAGTACAGGGAGATACTAATACACTATTTTTACACAAATTATGCACATTATGCTTTTTTGCAAGATGTGCGACCCCTACACACCTCAGTTTCCTCAGTGTGTTATGTATTTTATTATGTGGCTTGTTATATGTGAAAAAAATACAGTAATAATGGTGGTACATTTGGCAGCACTGTGGAACAAGGGTGCATAAAGATGCGTAGCAAATTTTTAAAATAATGTTTCAATATAAATTTAAATTGGGTCAAGTAAATAAAAATTTATTATTAAAAATAAATATTGAGTATTGAACATATACCAGCCATGCTACTAAATACTTTGCCTCACATTTAATCTTTACAATAAACCTGAAAGGTATGTGCTGTTATTATCATTAGTGTTCTGTAGTTGAGGAAAATAAATGTACCACAGAATAACTTGACATGTGATGTTGCTGAAAGAGGCGGAGCAGTGACTGGTACTCTGTCACTATACTCTCATATTTTTTAATTTTTTTGCTTCTATTTTGGGAGTCACGTAAATGCAAACTGGTTGTATCATAGTATTTTACTGTTTGACCTTATAAAATTCCAAGACTTATTAAGATTGAATTTTTAAAAAATGTCTTACATCATTCAGCTCCATTTCTTACCAGCATCTTTGTTGTGAGCATGTGCTAGACTCACATTTCTCTTATTTTTTACTCTAAATTTGAATCTAAAGACACCAGAATCTAGCACATAGGTATACATCTTGGTTCTGTGGCTCATTTTCACTTTGAAAGGCAATAATGAAAATGTATCCTCCTAGAAGGAACTCTGGTAGCCTAGTGCCTGAGGCACTTGACTGCTAACCAGAAGGCTGGCGGTTCAAACCCACCAGCCACTCCTCAGAAGGAAGGTTGGGCAATCTACTTCTGTAGTGATACTGCCTCGGAAACCTAAGGAGAGGTCACTATGAGTTGGGTCTGACTCGATGGCACATAACAACAACAGAAGGTAAATACAGGTGTTTAAAAGTTAAAGATCCTGGAGTTCTAGTTATTAGAACTATTGTTTCTTAGTTCTCCAAAGTAGTGGAGATTGTGGACTAAGTGGTAAAGGGAATGTGGAGATTAAGAAATACTGCCCTTACGGAGCATATTAATTATTAAAATTTAAACATTTGTAAAATGTTAAATATCAATAGAAGAGTTTTATAACATTCCAGGAGAACTATATACAGTAGCAGTATAAAAATGTCATGAGGTGATAACTATTTTAACAACTAAGTACACTAAATAGTATTAGTACTGAGTCAGATTTTGTACTTTCTAAAAATTAACACAATTAATAAGTAACGTCTATAACCATGCAATAAATTGTTACCAGAGTTAAACACATTTTAACAGCCAGTTCACTATTGACTGTTTTATTGTTGTTTATTTCCATATATATAACAAACGTGCATAATGTGTATTTATACATATAAATATATATATATTTTTCTTTTCAGGCCAGATAGACTAGAAAATGAGGCTTAATGGGCTTTGACTGTTGTGGTCTAACAATTTAGGGATCCAGAGACTATGGCTATGCAGAGACTATTTCTGCTAATTTGATATGAGATTTTAATTGCCTTCTGAAGTAGCTAGGATGTTTTCCACATAAACTGTTACTAAGGCACATATTCCCATTCTCTACTTGTGTTTGTATAAGTAAATTGAAGTAATACTGTATTTTACATTTATTCCTAGGAAATTTTACCTTTCTTACTTTGGCTAGTTGATTTTTTTTTTCCTTTCAGTCTTGACTTTATTATCCACTGCATTAGCAGTTTCCCTCCAATTTCAATATCATCTATCAGTTTCATTAACATGCTTAAAATAAAAGAAGGTGCACAGGAAAGCAAATAGTAACTGTGGTTTAGATTAAGATTTAGTTACTGGAATTTCATTGAAAATTTTTTTATCTGTATTTATGAGGGCTATTGGTCTGTAATTTTCTTCTTTTTTGGTGTCTTCTGGCTTTGTTATCAGGGTTATGCTGGCTTCATAGAACAAGTGTAGGAGTAGTTTTACTTTTCCATGCCTTAAGTTTGAAAGTTTTGGTGTGAGCTCTTCTCTGAATGTTTGGTAGAATTCTTCAGTGAATTTTTTGTTTTAATTACCACTTTAATCGCATATAATATAAATATAAAATTTTATGTAGAGTTTTTAAATGATCAAAAAAATACCTAGACTTAAAAAGAAAGATAAACAATCCTGTTGTTAATAACCTAAGTGTGCCACTAGAATTCATTGGTGCTTTAAATCAGATTTTATTATCTGTTGTGTAGTGCCACTACTGATCTGTCAGTTTGTCATACTGTGATGGCTTATGTGTTGCTATAAGGCTGGAGGCAATGCCACCAGTACTACAGATATGTGCAGGGTCACCCATGGTGGACAGGTTTTAGCAGAGCTTCCACAGTAAGACTAGGAAGAAGGATGGGGCCATCCACTTCTGAAAAAATTGGCCAGTGAAAACCTTAGGAGTAGTAATGAAACACTGATATATTACTGTAAAAGTCTATGAATAGTCCTGAAATGTTGTCTGATACATTGCTGTAAGATGAGTCTCTCAGATTAGAACCAATAAAAAAAACCAAACTCAACTGCTGCCGAGTCAGATCCGACTCATAGTGACCCCTCTTTGGGTTTCCGAGACAGTATCACTAGGGAAGTAGATTGCTGAATCTTCCTTTTGAGGAGTGGCTGGTGGATTTGAACCACCAGCCTTCTGGTTAGCAGTGAGACGCCTTAGGCACTACACCACGAGAGCTCCTTCAGGTTGGAAGTCACTCAAAATTATGACTAAGGAAGAGTTGCCTCCCCAAAGTAGAATCAATGTTAATGACATGGACAGAGTAAAGCTTTTGGGAACTCCATTGGCTGATGGGGCACGACTCAGAATGGGAGGTGAAAGCTGCATACATCCATTAATAATCAGAACATGGAGTGTACCAAGTATGAATCTAGGAAAATTGGAAGTTGTCACAAATGAAATGGAACACACAAAGATCAGTATCCTAATCATTAGTGAGCTGAAATGGACTGATTTGGCAATTTAGAATGAGACAATCATATGGTCGTCTATGCTGAGAATGATGAAGAGGAGTGGCTTTGCATACATTGTCAAAAAGAATGTTTCAAGATCTATCCTGAATTACAGTGCTGTCAATGATAGGATAATATCCACACCCCCTACAAAAGACCTGTTAAGACTACTGTTACTCAAATTTACACACCAACCACTAAAGCCAAAGATGAGGAAATTGAAGATTTTTATCAACTTCTGCAGTCTGAAATTGACCAAACATGCCATCAAGATGTATTGATTATTACTGGTGTTTGGAATGCAGAAGTGAAAAACAGAAAATTTCATCAGTAGTTGGAAACTATTGCCTTGGTGATAGAATCACATAATAGAATTTTGCAAGACCAGTGACTTACTCTTTGCAGATACTTTTTTTCAGCAATATAAGTGTCAGCTATACATGTGCATCTGGTCGGATGGAATACAGTAGAATCAGATCGACTACATCCGTGGAAGGAAACGATGGAGATGTTCAGTATCTTCACCCCAAACAAGGCCAAGAGCTGACTGTGGAACAGACCATTAGTTCTTCATGTTGTTAGGTGCTGTTGAGTTGGCTCCAACTCATAATGATCCTGTGTACAACAGAATGAAACACTACATGGTCCTGCGCTAGCCTCATATTTCTTGCTATAGCTGAGCCCATTGTTGGAGCCACTATGGCAGCCATCTCATTAAGGGCCTTCCCCTTTTTCACTGACCCTCCCCTTTACCAAGCATAATATTCTTCTCCAGGGGATAGTCCCTTCTGACAACATGACCAAAGTAGGTGAGGCGAAATCTGACTATTCTCGCTTCCAAGGAGCATTCCAGCTGCACTTCTTCCAGGACAGATTTGTTCATTCTTCTGGCAGTCCACGATACTTTGATTATTTATTCTTCAACAACACCACAACTCAAAAGCATCAACTCTTCTTTGGTCTTCCTTATTCATTGTCCAGCTTTCACATACATATGAGGCAATTGAAACCACTATGGCTTGGGTTAGCCACATCTTAGTTTTCAAAGAGACATCTTTGCTCTTCATCACTTTAAAGAGGTCTTTTGCGACAGATTTGCCCAGTGCCATATGTCGTCTCTTTTTTGACTGCTGCTTCCATTGGTGTTCATTGTGGAATATGAAATCTTTGACAGCTTCAATCTTTTCTCCATTTATTGTGATGCTGCTAATTGGTCCAGTTGTGACGATTTTTGTTGTGAGGATGTTCGTTTTCTTTATTTTGAGGTATAATCCATACTTTTGACTATAGTCATTAATCTTCATCAGTAACTGTTTCAACTGATCTTCACTTTGAGCACACAAGGTTTTGTTGTCTGCATATCTCAGGTTGTTAATGAGTCTTCCTTCAGTCCTGATGCCATGTTGTTGTTCTTATGGTCCAGCATCTCAGAATATTGCTCGGCATATAGATTGAATAAGTATGGTGATGGGATGGATACATCCCTGACACACTCCCTTCATGATTTTAAACCATACACTATCCCCTTGTTCTGTTTGAATGACAGCCTCCTGGTCTATGTACAGGTTCCTCATGAGCACAAATAAGTGTTCTGGAATTCCCAAAAGCAAGTTAAAGTTGAAGCTAAAGAAAATTAAAACAAGTCCATGAGAGCCAAAACATGACCTTGATTATATTCCACCTGAATTTAGAGACCACCATCTGGAGGATAGATTTGACACATTGAACACCAGTAGCCGAAAGCCAGATGACTTGAAGGATGACGTTAAGAACATCATCAATGAAGAAAGCGAAAAGTCATTAAAAAGACAAGAAAGGAAGAAAAGACCAAAATGGGTGTCAGAAAAGATTGAAACTTGCTCTTGAATGGAGAGTAGCTAAAGTGAATGGAAGAAATGACAAGATAGAAGGACCAGAACAGGAGATTTCAAACGGCAGCTTGAGCCAACAGAGCCAATTACTGTAATGAAATGTGTGCAGAGACCTGGAGTTAGAAAACCAAAAGGGAAGAACATGCTCAGTATTTCTCAAGCTGAAAGTACTGAAGAAAAAATTGAAACCTCGAGTTGCGGTAGCGTAGCATTCAATGAGCAAAAAAGCATCAAAAGAAGATGGAAGGAATACATAGATTCACTGTACAAAAAAAGAATTTGGTCAGTGTTCATCCATTTCAGGAGGTGGCATATGATCAAGAACCAGTGGTACTGAAGGAAAAAGTCAAAGCTACACTGAAAAAAATGGCAAAAAACAAGGCTTCAGCAGTTGACAGAATACCCATTAAGATGTTTCAACAAAGGGATGCAGTGCTAGAGGCACTTACTCATGTATGCAAAGTAATTTGAAAGACAACTTCCAGGCCAACTGACTGGAAGAGATCCATCCATATTTGTGCCCATTCCAAAGGAAGGTGACCCAACAGAATGTGGAGATTATTGAACAGTATGATTAATTCTCATGCAAGTAAAATTTTGCTGAAGATAATTCAAAACTATTTTAGCAGTATGTTGATGGGGAACTTCCAGTAATTCAAGCTGGATTCAAAAGAAGATGTAGAATGAGGAATATCATTGCTGGTGTCAGAGGAATATTAGCTGAAAGCAAAGAATACCAGAAAAATGTTTATTTGTGTTTTATTGATTATATGAAGGCATTTAACTGTATGGATGATAACAAATTATGGGTAGCATTGCAAAAATATGAGAATTCCAGAACATTTAATTATTTTAATGAGGAACCTGTACATAGACCACAAGGCTGTCATTTGAACAGAACAAGAAGATACTGCATGATTTAAAATCACGAAGGATGTGCATTAGCATTATATCCTTTCCCATATTTAATTCAGTCTGTATGTTGAGCAAATAATCTGAGAAGCTGCACCATATGAAAAATGTGGCATCAGGGTTGGAGGTGGACTCATTAACAACCTGCAATATGCAGATTATTCAGCCTTGCTTGCTGAAAATGAAGATGCTTTGAAGAATTTACTGATGAAGATTAAAGACTACAGTCTGCAGTATGGATTACAGCTCAACATAAAACAAAAGTCCTCACAACTGGACCAGTAAGCCACATTACTATAAATGGAGAAAGATTGAAATTGTCAAGAATTTCATTTTACTTAGATTCACAATTAACACCCATGGAAGGAGTAGTCAGAAAATCAGAGGTCATATTCACTGGACAGACCTGCTGCAAAAGACCTCTTTAATGTGCAGAAGAGTAAAGAAGTCACTATGGAGACTAAGGTGTGCCTAAGCCAAGCAGTGGTATTTTTAATCTCATATGAAAGCTGAACAGTGAATAAGGAAAACCAAAGGAGAGCTGATGCCTTTGAATTGTGTCAGGGAAGAATACTGAAGGTACCATGGATTGCTGGAAGAATGAACAAATCTGTCCTGGAAGAAGTACAGCCGGAATGCTCGGTGGGAGCGAGAATGGCCTGACTTCATCTCACCTACTTTAATCATGTTGTCAGAAGGGACCGTTCCTTGAAGAAAGATACCTGCTTGGTAAACTGGAGGGTCAATGTAAAAGGGAAAGACCTTCAACAAGATGGATTGGCATAGTAGCTGCATCGATGGACTCACCATAGCAAAGATTTTGAGGAGGCACAGGACTGGGAAGTGTTTTGTTCTGTTGTACATAGTCGTCGTGAGTTGTAGCTGACTCAGAAGCACCTAACAACAATAAAAAACAGTATTGCATAGTGCAACTTTTTGTTTTCTATCTAACGAAGGCTGGCACTGTGTAAAAGGCTTAGCAGTAAACTGTGGATGAGTTTGGACTTAACTGTTTACACCGAAAGAAAGAAATGCTGAAAATCTTTAGATGAAGTTTAAGTATTTTGCCAAAATAATTTTCGTGTCTATTCCCTTTCAATATATAGCCAGGACTTGTCTTTTTTCCCGAAAAATAAATTTTTTTTTTTTATTAATTGACAAGTTCCCCTATTGATTGATTTGCTAATTTGCATCTTACTGTTCTCTGTCTTTGATGTTTTTGTGCCCTGGGTTGTATTTGTGTACTCCCTTGACAAAAACAACTTATTTACCAAAAGAGGATTATAAGGTTACCAGAATATTTTGATTAAGCAAACAAAATATACCCAAAATAAAAAATACAAATAAAAGATCATTTTTTTTGTAGCTAGAAAATACATTTTCCAAACTCTCTCACTTGCCCAAAGCTCGATTTTTAAACCTTTTGTTTTCTTCAGGATGCTCTTTTGAAAAGTTACACCACATTATTCTTCTCTGAAGTTTAAATAAAAAGAATGTAGTCATCTTGAAAACATACCTAAATCATACTTTTTGGCTATAAACAATTACTCTAAATATGGAGGCAAGAATTAGAGAAATAGTATGGACCTTTCATGAAATTTTCAAACTTCGCCAAAGAGAAGGAAATAAAATTTTAGTATTTTCAACTATGATTTTCCTATTTTTCTGCTACTCAACAATTCGTTAAAACATTTTTGTGAGTATGATGTCAAATAATTCAGAAGCTAGACTTGTGAGAATGTAATAAAATAAAAATGTTTATTGTTTTAGTTATCAGGCACTTTACTTAGTGGTGCCTGACGGGAAACACCATTTTTCTCATGAAACATACACTGATCTATGTAAAATTAGACACTTTCATATAAAAACCAATTTGCAGGTTAGTTTATAACCAGGATCACTAGTGGAAGCATGGAGCTACATAGTAAATGACAGCATTAGATTGATTTCCCTGCATGAGTTCCTCATCTGTGCAAATGAAATTCTTACCTGAAATTCTAGAACTTAAAGTATGGTGCTTTCAACATTGTAAATTCTGTGTAAATGCTAATTCCAGTTTATTGATATATTAAATGCATATATATATTGGGAGCTCTGGTAGCATAGTACCTAAGACATTTGACTGCTAACCAGAAGGCTGGCAGTTCAAACCCACCAGCAACTCCTCGGAAGGAAGGTTGGGCAATCTACTTCCATAGTGATACTGCTTTGGAAACCCAAGGAGGGGTCACTATGAGTCAGGTCCGACTTGATGGCACATAACAACAACAACTACTATATATATATATATATATATATTTAAGAAATAAATTTACTATTTAAAGACATAGACTGTGTTATTTTACATAGAAAATTTATATCTGTTCACTTTTCCCTCTTTTTCTCCCAGTATTGCTGAATGCTGCAGCACTCCTTATTCCCTTCTGGGTTTGGTCTTCACAGTTTCTTTCGTTGCCTTGGGTGTTCTGACACTCTGCAAGTTTTACTTGCAGGGTTATCGGGCTTTCATGAATGATCCTGCCATGAATCGGTAAGTTCTTTGAGTGAGATGACTAGAAATTTAAATTTTATGCATAGATTGAAGAAGTAATAATGACTTTCTTTGGTTGTTGAATTTTAGGGGAAATATCATTTTGAGTGGTTTTATTTTTTTATTATTATTATTATTGGATAAAAATACTATGAATAATCATTAACTTACCATGTAAGAAAGAAGTATATCATATGTATATCATGATTCATGTTGGACACTTTCCTTTCCTAGATTTATTTAGGAAATTTTTTTTTAATTTCTTCCTTTTTCCCTTTAAGAGTTTGTTGTTAGCTGCCACTGAGTCGATTCTGACTCCCAGTGACCCCATATGACAGAGTAGAGTTGCTCTGTAGTGTTTTCTAGGCAGTAATCTACAGGAGCAGATTGCCAGGTCTTTTTCCTGCAGAGAGGCTGGTGGGGTCCAACCACTGACCTTTTTCATAGCAACTGTGCTTACATTGTTCCACCAGGACTCCTATTGAAATTTGTGTAGTCCTGCTAAAATCAGACTTCTTTATTTTATACTTTCTTTTAAAGGCCTTTTTTTTTTTACATGTTTGAACATAATTCAAATACTGATTAAAGTTTGAAAAGCAGCATTGATGAGAATGCAAAATAGTTCATCTAAACCCCAAACCAGACCCAGCCCACTGCCACTGAGTCATTCTGACTCATAGCAACCCTATAGGATAGAGTACAACTGCCCCATTAGATTTACAAGGCTGTAAATCTTTACAGAAGCAGACTGTGGAGCCCTGGTAGGTTTGAACTCCTGACCTTTTGATCAGGAGCCGAATGGTTTAACCACTGCACTCCCAGTGTTAAGTTAATCTAGTTGGTAGTAAATCATAAATCACTAAGATTATGTAAAACCCTATTTCTAGAACTTCTCATGATTTCGCTTATCTTAACATAGGCAGTTAATGTCTTCATTATATAAATAAACTCTTCTTAAAGTATTTAACTCTTTAATGGCTATTTGCATTAGTACCTGGTGAGTGCCTTGTAAACTGGGAAAGCTTTTTTCTTTTTTTTAAATACCAGGTTTTTTATGAAAGAAAACAATTTTTTAAAATTATGACCCACAGTCTCCCTTCCAATCCCAGCAAACACCCTTTAATTGGGAGGAAAAAAAAGGGTGAGTTGTTAGATGCTGTCGAGTCACCCCCGACTCATAGCGACCTTATGCACAACAGAACAAAACACCACCCAGTGCCAGCCAACTCCATGATCCTTGCTATACTTGAGCCCATCGCTACAACTACTGTGTCAATCCATCTTATTGAGGGTCTTCCCCTCTCTCATCGACCTTCCACCTTACCAAGCATGACATCCTTCTCCAGGGAATGGTCCCTTCTGACCACATGACCAAAGTAGGTGAGATGAAGTCTGGCCATTCTCACTTCCATGGAGCATTCTGGCTGCACTTCTTCCAGGACAGATTTGTTAGTTCTTTTAGCAGTCCATGGTATTTTCAGCATTCTTCACCAGCACCACAACCCCAAAGCATCAGTTATTCTTTGGTCTTCCTTGCTCAATGTCCCACTCTCACATGCATTTGAGGCAATTCAACATACCATGGCCTATGTCAGACGCACCTTAGTCCTCAAGGAGACATCTTTGCTCTTCAGCACTTGAAAGACTTCAGCACTTGCAGCCGACTTGCCCAGTGCTTTATGTCATCTCGTGCCCTGACTGCTGCTTCCATTGGCAATGATTGTAGAAACAAGCAATGTGAAGTCTTTGACAACTTCATTTCTTTTCTCCATTTATCGTGATGTTGCTTATAGGTCCAGTTGTGAGGATTTTTGTTTTCTTTATATTGAGATGTAATCCGTACTGCAGACTGTATTCTCAGTCTTCATCAGTAAGTACTTCAAGTCATCCTCACTTTCAGCAAGCAACGTTGTGTCATCAGTGTATCACAGGTTATTAATGATTCTTCCGCCAGTCTCTGCCACATTCTTCATATTCAGCTTTTCAGATTAGTTGCTCAGCATATAGATTGAATAAGTATAGTGAAAGGATAAAACCCTTATGCACCCCCTTCTTGATTTTAAACCTTGCAGTGTCTCCTTGTTCTGTTCGAACGACAGCCTCCTGGTCTATGTACAGGTTCCTCATGAATACATATTAAGTGTTCTGGAATTCCCATTCTTCTCAATGTTATCCACAGTTTGTTATGATCCACACAATCAAATGCTTTTGCATAGTCAATAAAACAAAAGTAAACACCTTTCTGGTATTCTTTGCTTTGAGCCAAGATCCATCTGACATTCACTGTGATGGGATACCTCGTTCCATGTTCTCTTCTAAATCCAGCTTGCATTTCTGGAAGCTCTCTGTTAATATACTGCTGCAACCGTTTTTGAATTATCTTCAGTACGACTTTACTTGCATGCGATATTAATGTTATTGCTTGATGATTTCCACATTCTGTGGGATCCTTTCTTTGGAATGAGTATAGACAGTTGGCTAGGTAGCTGTCTTCCAAATCTCTTGGCATAATGGAGTAAGTGCCTCCAGCGGTGCATCTGTTTGTTGAACATCTCAGTGGATATTCCATCAATTCATGGAGTTTTGTTCTTTGCCAATTCCTTTAGTATAGCTTTTACTTCTTCTTTCAGTACCATTGGTTCTTGAATATATGCCACCTCCTGAAATGGATGAAGATCAACCAGTTCTTTTTGGTATAGTGACGCTGTGTATTCTTTCCATCTTATTTTGATGTTTCCTGCATCATTCAATATTTTGCCCATAGAATCTTTCAGTATTGCAAGTCAAGGCTTAAATTTTTTTCCTCAGTTCTTTAAGCTTGAGAAATGCCAAGCGTGTTCTTCCGTATTGGTTTTCTAACTCCAGGTCTTTGCACACATTTCGTTATAGCAATTGGCTTTGTCTATTTAAGCTGCTCTTTGAAATCTTCTGTTCAGCTCTTTTATCTTGTCATTTCTTCCATTTGCTTTAGCTACTCTCCGCTCAAGAGCAAGTTTCAGAGTCTCTTCTGACATCATTTTGGTCTTTACTTCTTGTCTGTTTAATGACCTCTTATTTTCATGTATGATGTTCTTGAGGTCGTCCCACAGTTCTTCTGGTTTTCGGTCATTGGTGTTCAGTGCATCAAATCTATTCTTTAGATGGCCTCTAAATTCAGGAATGATATATTCAGGGTGATATTTTGGCTCTTATGGACTTGTTTTAATTGTCTTTGGGTTGAACTTGCATATGCGTAGTTGATGGTCTGTTCCACAGTGCCTTGTTTTGACGGAAGATACTGAGATTCTCCATTGCCTCTTGCCACAGATGTAGTCAGTCTGATTCCTGTATATTCCATCTGGCGAAGTCCACGTGTATAACTGCTGTTGGTGTTGTTGAAAAATGGTATTTGCAATGAGTAAGTCGTTGGTCTTGCAAGATTCTGTCATGCAATCTCCAGGGTTATTTCTATCACCAAGGCCAAATTTTCCAACTACCAGTGATTCCTTTTTGTTTCCAACTCTTGCATTCAGCAGTGATAATTAACACATCTTGATTGCATGTTCGTTCAATTTCAGACTGCAAAAGTTGATGAAAATCTTCAATTTCCTCTTTTTTGGCTTTGGTGGTTGATGTGTAAATTTGAGTAGTAGTAGTAGTAACTTGTCTTCCTTGTAGGTGTATGGATATTATCCTATCACTGACAGCATTGTACTTCAGGACAGATTTTGAAACATCCTTTGTGATGATGAATGCCATGCCATTCCTCTTCAAATTGTCATTCCCAGCATAGTAGATTATATGGTTGTCTGATTCAGAATGGCCAAAACCAGTGCATTTCAGCTCACTAATGCCTAGGATATCAGTCTTTATGCATTCCATTATTATTTTTGACATCTTCCAATGTTCCTGAATTCCTACTTTATACATTTCCATGTTCCTTTTATTAATGGATGTTTGAAGCTGTTTTCTCCTCAATTTGAGTTGTGCCACGTCAGCAAATGGAGGTTCCGAAAGCTTTACTTTATCCATATCATTAGGGTTGGTTCTGCTCTGATGAGGCAGCTCTTTCCCAGTCGTATTTTGAGCCTTCCGACGTAAAGGCCTTGTCTTCCTGCACTGTATTGGACAGTGTTTCCAGGCTATTCTTAAAGTTGCACATTAATGTATCAGACAGTGTTTCTGTGCTACTCATAAGGTTTTCCCTGGCCAATTTTTTGAGAAGTGGTTGGCCTCTTCCTTCTTCCTAGTCTATCTCACTCTGTAAGCTGCATTGAAACCTGTGCACTGTGTGTAACCCTGCTGGAGTTTGAAACATTGTTGGAACAGCCTCAAGCCTCACAGCAATGCACAAGCCACCACAATATGCCAAACTGACAGACCAGTTTGTTTCCTTTAGCAGTTCTAAACCTTTTCACCCTCCCCTTACCTGGATCCTACCTGAATCCTGCAGATTTGTCATCCCTAGCATTCCCCTCCTTTTCCTGCCTCTGGGGTGCAACATGTCTCTCAGGGGTGAGTTGGGGATGGAGAAATAAAAATAGTTCATGGATAGTTCACAAAATTTATACTGTTCAAAAGCTATAAAATGAAAGTGACAGCTGCTTCCCAAGGGTAACAGTTACTGATGGTTATTGTAGAATTTCTTATAGAAAAAAGTACATATATGTATCTATCGTGTTCCATATATTATACACATTGTGATATGTTAGTTTTTCACTTAGTATGTTTTCGCGTTTTCTGTTGTTTATGTTAGCACATGAAGATACATCTCATTGTTTTTGATAAAGGCATACTTTTTTTTTTCTTTTTGCTATTAAAAAATAATGCTACTGGATGTCTTTTTTGTACTTCTCTCTCATTTTAATTAGGAAAAGTTGAGAGAAGAGTAAAATGAACTGCCATGTACCCATCACCCATGTACCCGTTTCCCTTATACCTATCACTCATCTCCAACAGTATCAACTCTCATGACCTGTCTCAGTCATCTCCACCCACCTTGTCCCTTTCCCCTACCCCTGGCTAAAATTTTTTGGAGCAAATCTGAGATATGATTTAATTTTATCCATAAATATTTCAGTGCGTAAATCTTTTTAAAAACATAATTACAGTATAATGATCAAAGCCAATAAGAAGAATTCTTTGATACCAGATATTTAGTTAGTGTTCAAAGTGATAATGTATTTGTTCTGTTGTATTTCGTTTTAAACATTTTTGTTTGCTCAACTGAAGATCCAAATAAGCCCTCATTCCTTGCAATTGGTTGAAATGTTTCTTAAGTCTGTTAGTATTCAGGTCTCCTTTATCTGCTTATTTTTTCCCTTGCATTTTGTTTGTTGGAAGACACCAGGCTATTTGTCCAACAGAGGTTTTCACAGTCTGCATTTTGCTGGCTGCCATCCCCATGGTGTCATATAACACGTTCCACTATTCACTGTATTTTCAGATACGTCCTAACTTTGGTGATACATCCGTAGGGTAAATTATTACTAATAAGATTATTGAGTTGAAGGGTATGCACATTTTAAATTTATTACTAAATTTTTCTTCTGAAAGGTTGTATCTGTGCATCTATATCATGTCCATTTCACTTATATCCTTGTCAGTACTTGGCTATCATCAGATTTTGTAGTACTTGCTAATCTGATTGCAGTTTTTGAAACTGCTCATTTCTCACATACTTGTTAGAATTTTGTATAAATCAAGGCAATAGGATACAAGGTTCTAAGATACTGTATGTGATATATTTTCCATATGGAATTACTTTTTTTTTCAGTTTTTATTTATCTTTCTCTCCCGTTATATCTTTTAGATCTCATGGTCTTCTTGAAGAGACCTTTTCCTCCCTTAAATTTATGAAGATAACTCACCTAGGATTTTTTCTGATGTGTCACATTTTCTTTTATTATCAGGATCTATTGTAGGGTGTAAATGGATATAACTTAGCAGATCTGTAAGTCTGGCAGAAGTATCTGGCTCATTAGCAAAATCTGTTGGGAAAATATTTATTTATTTTAGAAGTTGCTTTTCTTCGCCTCAGTGTATTTAATAATAGCTATTATGTTTCTGTCCATTTAGTCGTATGAATACTATATGTATTATTATATTGATGTTATATAATAACAGCATAAAGATAATATATTAAAGTTTTTGAGTGTGTATTAAGTGTCAGTAGATTCACAAGTATGTAACAACAGTCTGAGTGTTTGAATTCTTTTCTCTAGGAGTTAAATGAGATTCTGATAATTTTATTTCTGGTTTTTTTTTTTTTTCCCCTGTCTCTCTCTCTCAAAATGTATGATTTTCTTAGGGGCATGACAGAAGGAGTTACACTCTTGATCCTGGCAGTGCAGACGGGTCTGATAGAACTACAGGTGGTTCATCGGGCATTCCTTCTCAGTATTATCCTCTTCATTGTAGTAGCTTCTATCCTACAGTCCATGTTAGAGATTGCAGATCCTATTGTTTTGGCACTGGGAGCATCTAGAGACAAGTAAGACACTTTCTAAAACCAACATTTGTAATATTATTTACATACATTTGGTGTCTAAAAATTCAGGGAATGTTTAAAGTCAGCAAGTAGATGGATAATTGATACTAGATTAATTCAAAAAGTTTACATTTTTATTTGTGTTATATGAGATGATTGACTTGACTTCTCTAATCTTTTTTGTTTTCTCTCCATTCCTATTGCTGAAAGTCATATCAAAGGCCATTTAATTACAAATCATCATATTTTTTCTATAGAAAAATATAATACTTTAAAAAGTTTTTAAATTAAGAATGTAAAACAAAATTTAATCCAGGAAACAGCGAGTAATATATTTTTTTTTTCATGCTCAGTTCTAGTTAAAAGAGAGAAACTCACTGCCATCAAGTCAGATCTGACTCAGCAATCCCTCCTTGGGTTTCCGAGGTGGTGTCACTATGGAAGTAGATTGCCCAATATTTTTTCTGAGGAGTGGCTGGGGGGTTTGAACTACCAGCCTTCTGGTTAGCAGTCAAATACCTTAGGCACTATGCCACCAGAGCTCCTCCAGAAGATAGGCATTTATGGAATAACAGCCTCATCAAATAACATTGGCCTTTCAGACAACTGCACTTATTAAATTAAGGTCCTAATGAGGATTCTTGACACCTTATGAGTCAGGTGAAATTAATAGCTGGATTCATGTGCATCTCATGTTACAAAAATACTACTGAGAAATAAAAATGAAATAATTACTTTTTAGGATACGATTTTGGCTTTTTGTTTGTTTGCACAAAGAATTGTTTAAACTTCAGTGTCCTTTTTTATCATTTTTCTACACTCTGCTGATTATAACAACAACAACAACAGCTACTGATTATAGAAATACATCTCTATTGCCTTTTTTGGTGACATTTTATAAGTAAAGGAGCAAACAGTCTTTTAGGAGACAGAATTGTGGCACCAGATTTTCTTAGCATTCTAAATTAGCATTTTTATTATAGTTCATTGGAGTCATCTTTGTATCCTTATTTCCTACATTGCCAAGAATCCATAAAATTTTCTCAAAGAATAGGATGGCTGGAAGAATCTATTTAAATAAGCTCACAGTTCTAAATATGTTTCAGATTTTCATAGGCAATTTGTTTTGAGGTTTAAGGTTTCTTGACAGAAGAATTTAAAATGTTGAAATCAGTGATTAGCTCAGTTAAATAGCCATTTAGTAGATCTGAAAATTGAGTTGATTTAACAATTAACGTTTTGTCATCTCCCACAATATTTTTTTGGTATTATTAACTTCATTATTAGAATAATATAACACTATAGAAAGTCTGGAAAAGAGGAAAAAATACGTAATTTGACTACCAAAAGAACCAGTAAATTCAGTTGTGGGTCTTTCCAGGATGCTGAATTAGCATGACTATAGTGCCTAAGGCACTTGACTGCTAACCAGAAGGCTGGCGGTTCAAACCCAATATGGGGTCACTATGAGTTGGGTCCGACTCGGCACATAACAACAACAACACCTGGCTTCCTCACCCAAGATCAAACATGAGCAGATTCAGAGGGAAAGGAGGAATTAGCTGTTAGGGTTCTTTTCTTCTCTTCCACCATTACTTTGGTAATGAGAAAATGATACTAATGCTACATGCCAATACTTGTTAAAACAAATGAAGTGAAACTGACTCAAGAAGAATTTAAAAGCTTTGGTGCAGTGGTTCAGGCATTTGACCACTAACCAGAAGGTTGGTGGTTTGAATCTACCAGTTGTTCTTTGGGAGAAAGATGAGGTAGTCTGATTCTATAAAGATTTACAGCCTTGGAAACTTTATGGGGCAATTCTAGTTCTAGTCTGTCCTATATTGTCGCTATAAGTAGGAATCAACTCAGTGGCAGTGGGTAGGTTATAGTTCTTTAACTATTAAAGAAATTGAAGCAGTTGGTAAATAAGAGCCATATGGCATTTGAAGGGACAGATTATCTGAATTTTAAACACTTCGAGAGTAGAAAGAATGCTCCCCAGCTTACTCTGTAAGGCCAGTATAATTCCAGTAACAAAATCAGATAAACGTTATGAGAATGATAAACTATACTTTAATTTCACTTAACAGCAAGAGTTTTTATGAAGTTCTTGCAGTATTGGCTCATGAATGGACAACTTGAGTAATGGACTAGAGATCCCCAAAGCAGACCAGATAGGTATAGAAGTTTGATAATTGTTACAAGTGGCATGTCAGATGAGTGGGGATAGATGGTACTGTTCTGTAATGAAACTGGAGAGAAATGGTTTTGCACTTGTGAAAGAATGAAAGGGGTCCCTTTTTCACACCGCAAGCAAAGGAATCAACTCCATAACGTCATAGACTTAAATGTCAAAAAAATACTAAAATTAAATAGACTAGTATAATTTGGAGTAGGAAGAAATTTCTTACACTATGAAAGAAAAGATAGATAAATTTACCTATTAAAATTAATGGGAGCTCCGGTGGCATAGTGCCTAAGGCTTTTGACTCCTAAGCAGAAGGCTGCTGCTGGTTCAGACCCACCAGCCGCTCCTCGGAAGGAAGACTGGGCAATCTACTTTGTAAAGATTTACCACCTTGGAAACCCAAAGGGGGTCGCTATGAATTGGAATTGACTCATTGACAGTGAGTTTGGTTTGGGTTTTTTTGGTTATTATTTCCTAGGATACTCTTATACATGTCCAGTAAGAGACATGAAGAATGTTCATAGCATGATCCACAATAGAAAAACCTGAGAACCATGAGGAGATTGGGTGAATAGAATATAAGAGTCACAGTGTAATGTTAAAAATACAGTGAGAAACAACAGTATGGATGATTTTTTATAGCAATATAAAGAAAAGTAACTTCAAAAAGATTGCAGTATAGGATGTTAGTAATCTTTTTATGTTACAAACAAGATTTTAAAATATAGCTGTTCTACAGTGTCTGCAGGGGATTGGTTCCAGGACACCCTATAGATATGAAAATCTGTGGATGTTCAAGTGCCTTATATAAAATGTCATAGTATTTGCATATAACCTATGCATATCCTCCTGTATACTTTAAATCTTGATTATAATTATAAATAAGTACCTAATACTGTATAAATGCTACATAAATAACACTTTGCACTTCCTGTTAGTCTCTGAGAGAGGGCTTGTTTTAAACGTTTAATTGCTTCCCTCCCACCCCTGAATATTTTCAGTCCTTGATTAGTGGAATCCATGGATGTGGAAACCACAGATACAAAGGGCTGCCTGTATACTCTTTAGGAATATGTATAGATTTAACTTAACTATCACAAGAGAAGCAGGCAAGCAAGAAAATGATGAACACAGGATTCAAGATGATGGTTTCATGGGGTGGAAGGAGACTGGACTGTTGAATAGCAGGCCTGCCATATGGTTAGATAAAAGTTGTTTTCCAGGCCCTACTCTTTGGGGAGGTGGGTTCATGAAAGCTTATTACTTCATTTAAAATAATTAAGTCACTAACTACATAAAAAGAGAGCCATACACAGACCAACAGTAATAGTGCATTATGAACCAAGGATTGTGATTAATTGAGTTCAGTCCCTGGCAAGTAAAAAAAGGAAGCAAAAAAGATCTTACTTCTCAAATTAGAAGAACAGTTAAGAGATGATAGTGATAATTAATGAAACACTACTTATGTTGGTTGGAAAAATTGTTGAGAAAAATCTTTGTTAACTACAGGTATGTTCACTTAATGTCTACGGTACATTCTGTGAAATAGGACATTATGCATTTAGGAAGTTATGTGATTTCGGCATTGTGCAAATACCATATTAAAATCTTATTCTGGTCCTCGTCATCACTGCTGGAGCTGCTGACAGAGGCTGGAAGAACTTGCAGTGGCCGTGGGAGCAGAGTGAGGAAGTGAGCGGGGAGGGAGCTATGCACATTCTGTCCTGCCCACTGTTCTGCCACCCTGAAGTTCAGGGACAGCCAACTCCCACCATCCTCCCACTGGACAAAACCTGAGAGCCTCTGCCCAGAGTCATACCCCACCCGTGTTCTAGTGCTGCAAGAGTCTGGGTTTGGAATCTTTAAAACCATAGAGGAAAGTGATAAACAAAAAAAAGGATCTCCTCTCCCCGTTAAGAAAAAATTAAAAAACCTTATGGGATTACTGACATATAATGTGGTTGGACATTGTCTGAATGGATATTAAATGATGCATACCTGTATCTTGGGAGCTCTGGTAGCGTAGTGCCTAAGGCACTTGACTGCTAATCAGAAGGCTGACGGTTCAAACCCACCAGGCACTCCTCAGAAGGAAGATGGGGCAGTCTCCTTCCGTAGTGATACTGCCTTGGAAAAAGATGTCTGAGATAGTTAGCCACAGAAACCATCTCTACTTTAATCTATTACTTTATTACAGTTTCTAACAAATTTTGAGACTGTACACGTGTACTTTGTTTTATTATACTTTACTTATTGCGCTTCGCAGATACAGCAGTTTTTACTAATTGGCAGTTTGTGGCAACCCTGGTTTGAGCACGTCTACCGGCACTATTTTTCCAACAATGTGTGCTCACTTTATGTCTCTGTGTCACATTTTGGTAATTCTCACAATATTTCAAAATTTTTCATGATACTAGTGCACACTTAATAACTTTTATATGCACTGGGAAACCAAAAATTATGTGTGATTTACTTTATAGCGATACTTTCTGTATAGCAGCAGTCTGGAACCAAACCTGCCATATTTCTGAGGTATGCTTTCAGTTTATTTAGTCACATTGTATAGTAAGTTCCCGTATGGTCCACTGTTAAGAAATGGCTTGGGGTAAGTGTTTATAAAAAAAACCTTTTTTTTTTTCCATTTTATACGTCTTAACCTATTAATTGAAAAAGTGTTTAGTGTCATTTTCCTGTATATTTAGTTTTTTATTTAAAAACTGATTCTTGTGAGGTGGAGGTCAAATATACCTCCTTCTCCAACCTTTTTACCAGTTCTGACACCAGCAGCCATCCCTGCCATGGCACTCTCTGCTTCTCTCCTGGATTCAGTAATTCATTGAAATGGCTACACAGAACTCACAGACCGTACTGACAGTTTTGGGACATATTAGGAAAGTATCAGGTTACAACTCAAGATCAGGAAACGTGTAGGCAGTCTCCCATTTTCAGTGCAGGACAGCTCTCTTCAGCTTCTCTCAGCTGTACAGGGCTTCTCTTGCTTCCCTCAGGACAGGCCTCCTCTCTCATCCTGCGTCTGCCCTGCTCGGGTGGGTGTTAACAAAGCTCTTTTGCTATGCCCGTGAGTGCCTAAAGGTACCCCCGCCCCCCACCAGCAATCCGCCTACCTGGAGGTTCTCATTTCTCTTGCTCTCTGGGTCCCTAACTCCACTAACAAATGCCCAGAAGCACCCCCACTCTGCCAGTAAGCCTTGGGCCCAAAGGCACTCAGCTGTCACTCTGTGGGTCAGCATGCCCACTATAGTCACGTTGCTCTGTGTGCCACCAAGGCCACTGTGCTGTTTTGTGCCACTTTCCTGGTTCTGCTGCCACCATTTCTTTCCTGCCACTTCTTGCTGTCTCACACCTTCTCCAGTGTTAACAGCTCTCTCTGTCTGCTAGATCTAGGAGGTTCTCGGTGCAGGGACCCACTGCACTTCTTGCTTTTTCTTCTTGATGGTAAGGAGAATTCCCCCCTTGCTTTGGGGTTGGCTTCCTTTATGCCTAGCAGGATGGCAAAACTGACCAATTCCCTTGTTAGATAGGATTCCATACACCTTTATCGCATGTTCCAACCCCCACAAGGGCTCTATGCCTCTTATTTGCATTGTTAGTGAGCTGTCCAAGCCCCTTGGTGGGCCACAAGCACCTTATTTGCATTGTTCAACTCAGTCGTTTTGTGGGATTTCTAAGACCATGTGTGGCTAGAAGGACCATATTAAGTAATTCACTGCACTGCAACACTGTTTATATTTTTCTCTATGTATGTATACATATGTGTATATATATGTAAATAGTACTTTATATAAATGGATCATAACCAGACGGCTGGCGGTTCAAACCCACCAGCCACTCCTCGGAAGGAAGGTTGGGCAATCCTACTTCCGTAGTGATACTGCCTCGGAAACCCAAGGAGGGGTCGCTATGAGTCGGGTTTGACTCGACGGCACATAACAACAACAACAACAACAACAAGTCACTTTAGAAAAATATATTTAAAATTTTAAGGCAAATCATCTCATTAAAGAAAATCACCTACGTTTACCATCTAACATAGTACAACTATTGTTAGAGTAATTCTTACCTGCCTTCTTTTCTTTAAAAAGATAAAACTGTTTACATTTTGAATCTCACATCCAAGCTACGGACAGTTTTATGTTTGTCCTGTAACTTCTTGATAATGGAAATGCTTGGCAAGAAAAGATATAAAACAGTTCCAAAGTACATAGCTTTAATTTTTACCATGGTAGTTCACTTTCCTCTCTGAAGTACTAATTATAGATAGGGCTGCACAGGATAGCGTTCAGCTTTGTTTGTGGCTAATTATCACTCCTCACCTATATTATAATTAGAGATAAGAAAGATGGCTTATATTACTTTTGTATCTCCTTGAGGTGTTTTGCACGAATTTGAGATTATATCAAGGATGCTGATATTCGTTAAAACAGTTTAATTTTGTTGCAGCCGTAGCTTAAACTGTTTTAGTTGAAATTCACATTTCCTGATAATAGTTTTAAATAATCTGCATTCATGTTTTATATGAAATCATTAAATAATAATTTTACATCTTAAAATTTTGTTTACATAGTTTATACTTGAGTTTTGTTAAGAGAGGGGAAAGCTATTTTTTGGTCATGCTAACTTCTTTTCAGGTTTGTGAGTATTATATTAAAAAACTATTCTAATAACAGCTTTCCTATACCTAAGAAATGAAAGTATCTTTCTTTTAAACTCATGTGGAAGTAATAAGGCCTTCCATCATCCATTCCTTATAAATGTGATATATAAAATAAATAATTTATGAGTAAACTCTTAGGGAGAATAAGCACATGTGTTTTATATTGCATGGAAAGGTTTTTCCAAGTTCTGCTTGAGGTAAGAGTTTGGAATTTTATTATCCTTTAGAAATTAGTATACAATATGTCTTAAATTGGGATATATTTAAGGAATGATCTATTAAAATATCACAATGTATGAAGAGGTAAAAACATAAAAAAAGCGTGTTCCAGGGGCCAGATTTCTTGCCTGTGTCCGTAACTGTTTGGCAGTTCTTTTGTCATACCTAGGGGACTTCTCCTTCATATATTTTTTAACTGTTGGCAACAGGTAGGGTTTAGGTGGGATCAGAAACGTGAGTCTAAATCTAACAGATCTGTTAATTTGTTGTATGCTTTAAAAACATAAAGTTATATGTGAAACTGTTACTCTTGAAAACAACCATGATAACTTTTCTTCCCTTTACTTCATAGGAGTATGGGTGTTAGGTAAGAAAGGTAATATTACAAGATAATTTGAAAAATATCAAGTAGAAACAAATGTTCAGGTTTTATTTGGCACCTACATCAAACAAGCATTTGTATTTATTAGGGACGTGGGGGGTATGAAGATACTCCTTTTTTTTTTTTTTCCTCCATGGAATTTAAATTTGGGCATGACTCATGTATATATCAATTAAAATAATACCACAACTCAGTTAGTGATTGATATAGGTGCTAAGGGTCTGAGAGGGCAGATAGTTCTTAAAGGACTATCTATAGTCCTTTAAAAGCTATTAAAAAAAAAGAAAAAAAGCTTTAGAAGCTATCTATAGTCCTATAAAGCTATGTTTGTTTAGCTTGAGCTAGCCTAAAGGACTTACAGAAATAGCAGGACAGGGTGATTTCTGGTGGGATGCAAGCATACTTGTGTTTTGCCAGGAGGACAGTTAATTATCAGCTTGGCTTGTAGTGAGGAACAGGTGTTGACAAGTTTGGAATGATAAATTAGAGCCAGAACATGGAAGATCTTAGAGAACATGTTGGCAATATTACAGAATGAGAACTTCAGGAAGATTAATTTGGCTGGCAGTGTTCAGGATAGATCAAGTGCTAGGAGGAAGAGTAGGTAATAGATCTTACAGTGCAGTGGTTCTTAGCTTTATTTTTGTTTTCCTTCTGATGTCAGTGTATGAGAGGATTAGTATACTTACACATCAGAGGGCTATTCCTGTTAATAACACTGCATCACTACAGCAGAGATTCTTATCACAGGGTGGGGAGAAGATGCTGTATAACTTGACAAAAACCATAGATTATTCTAATACCCTGACCCTGTGCTAAGTGGGAAAATTGCTATTAATATTGTTGACATTTAAGGCTACGGTGCCTAAAATAGTTTGAAACCAGTAGAAATGGGAATGAAATTGAAAACAAATTATTGAGAAAGGAGAGGATTGATGCTACTTGGCACTTGACAGGGTTTGGAGCAGAGGAAAAGGCAGGAGCCAGGTGATTTTGAATGCTAAGGCTTGCTGACTTTCTCTGAAGTCTGTACAGTGACTTGCCTGTAGAAGGTGTTCAGGAAAATACTCGTGAAATGTGATGATGGCACAAGAACTGTTGCTGGTGTAATTGTTGTGCCTTAAATAGCAGACACTTGAAAAGAATAACCTTCTCCTTCTCCAGGAGTTTATGGAAACACTTCCGTGCCGTGAGCCTTTGTTTATTTTTACTGGTTTTCCCTGCTTATATGGCTTATATGATTTGCCAGTTTTTCCACATGGATTTTTGGCTTCTTATCATTATCTCCAGCAGCATCCTCACCTCTCTTCAGGTAAGCCTAGTATGAAATATAAGTTAACATAAGATCTGATTTTCTTATTTTTTTCCTTCTGGCAGAAGAATCTTTTTCAAAATAAATGATTAGTTGATTCAAATGTTTACTTCCCTACACTTTTGGCTAGCGCTCATTACATTTATTAGTGCATAAGAGTTTATTAAAATTCTAGATCGGTCTGTGTCACTGCATTTTTTTTAGCAAGTTAATTAAGCTTTTCAGTTTCTCTTTGTCAAAGTGTTATGATGCAGAGCTGTCATGCAGATCTTAAATTGATAAGTAATTGTAAAATATTAAAAGATTGTAGAGCCAGTTCTCCAGTGTGTTCATGTTTTCATTAAATAACCCATTTGGAAAATATTCATAATTTTATGATGTATATAAATATATGTATATGTCTGTGAATGCAGACTGACAGGCATTATATATATTACACATATACATGCCTCATATTGCCCTGGAAGGGTGAACATTGTAATAAGTTTAAAATTATTGTAACTTGCAGTGACATCTTGGCTGGCTGAGCAGTAAGTGGTGGCACTAGTAGTGAAAATATGTCAGTGCTCCTGGTAGAAGTGAAGATACCTGAAGAGTTGAGGAACAGGAATGACCCTGGAATAGGAAAATTGAGATTGAGTTGATGAGTGATACTCACCTGGGGAATAAAGGGAAGAGGTGAACCATAGAAAACTGATTGTGAATCAGCATCATAACTTCTAGGAGAATATGGTTTTGGAATTCTAATACCTGGATTATTAAGTCACCCACATTTTAATTATCCATGTTTTCTCTTTAGGTACTAAATTTGGCATCCAAATAATATGAATTAATCTATGAAAAACTCTCCTAGTGATCATATTCTGTTTTAATATGCATACTTTTTTTTTTTCCTTCAGGTTCTGGGAACACTTTTCATTTATGTCTTATTTATGGTTGAGGAATTCAGAAAAGAGCCAGTGGAAAACATGGATGATGTCATCTACTATGTGAATGGCACTTACCGCCTACTGGAGTTTCTTGTGGCCCTCTGTGTAGTGGCCTATGGAGTCTCAGAGACCATCTTTGGAGAATGGACAGTGATGGGCTCGATGATTATCTTCATCCATTCCTACTACAATGTGTGGCTTCGGGCCCAACTAGGGTGGAAGAGTTTTCTTCTCCGCAGAGATGCTGTGAATAAGATCAAATCATTACCTGTTGCTACAAAAGAGCAGCTTGAGAAACACAATGATATTTGTGCCATCTGTTATCAGGTAACTTGCATGATGAGAATTCATTTAGGTGGGGACTTATAGCATATCCGTTGGTACTGTAACAATGTTAGCCAAATTCAACTTATCTTTTTTAAAAATGGGCCTTAAAAAATTACTACAGACCTGAGAAAATATTTCCATTGATTTCTAAATTAAACTTTTAATTTGGTCTTTGACGTTCTAATTTATTGTTGTTATTTTCAACATTACCGCTCACCCATAAATAAAGGAAAAACAGGTCAGGTGTATTTTATATTTACTCCTGATTATACACACACACACACATATGTACTATCAAGTATATACTATCAATCAGGAGTCAGCAACTTCTGAAAAGTGGTGTGCCAAGATTCTGACTCTTCCTTCTAGTCATCCCAGGGTGGGGAAGAAGTGTGCATTTACTTAATGTAGGTGGAGAGGCTTTGTGCTTCCCTGTGGGTTGCTGGATTTCTTAGATAGGCACAGGCCTTTGTGTGTCAGGAGGGATGGGTATGATAGAAGCAACCAGTTGGTGTACCATTGAAGTTGGTGGCACATGGGCCATAAGTAGCTGATGACTGACTGTCTTTAACATAAGAATTAAAGATAGCATTTAAATCAGCTTGGAAATAAAACAACAAAAAAGTAGTTGAGATGCCAGTTACTTGTGCAGAGCAGGTGGTTGAACAGCTTCTGCTGTGGGAAGTGCAGACAGCAGTTGGCAGCAGCAGCAGCAAGAACCATGTTCCATTTATTTCACTCTTAAATCTTGTAGGCAGGTGGAATGAAACTATAGATAGCGTCTGTGAGTACACCAGCAGTGCTCTTCAAGGCTGCCTTTACAATTTTAGGTAGGGTGTGTATGTATTTGTGTGTGTTTAAACTAACTAGAAACTTCTAATAGCAACATGTAACTACCTTTCTTTTTATTGTTACTAGAACATAAGATACTTTTGAGTATTAGTGAAAAAGAAATGTTTTCCAGGGTCTGTTTTTCTATTTTGGAGGGATTAGGAGTGATATACGTCCCTCCCCCAACTGGATTTATTATTCATGTGAATTCTAGTCCTTTTATGCTAGGTAGCCTCATTGTATTAAGGACAAAGCACATCAAAACCAGATGCAAGCACATCAGCTTCAGAAGCTGAAGATACTCTAAGATGGTAAATATACTGGTATCATCCCAGTGGAGGCCCAGTAATCACATTGCTCCACTTGTGTAACCCTTGAGTTTTATACAGAAACTGTCTAAATGATGGAATGTCTTAGTATTCTATCTCTGGGATTGAAATGTCCCCTTTTTGTATTTCCTGTTGTCACATCACTTTTTTGAGGTGCTAGAACTACCTGCTGATGTCACTTAGAAAATGAGAGTGAAATTGCATAGCTTCCCAGCTGGCTGCTTTCCCTTGGATGGCTTTCTGCTTAAAAGTTGATTTCTAGGTGATACCAGTTCTTGGCAAGGAATTTTTGGAATAGCCACCCACACTCCTTGTTTTTGGACTTCAAACAGAGTTAATGGTTGATTCACTAATATCTCTATCTCTGCAACCTTAATTTTGTGTTCTTAGCTTTCCTTCTCCAAGGAATATTAATGCAAAGTTTACTACTATAGTCCAGTGGTTTTCAAACTTGAGTGTTCATAAAATTCACGTGGGTTGTTTATTTTAACTGTAGATTGGTGATCTTGTCACCAGATATTTGTACTCCATAGGTCTGGAGTGGTCCAAGAAACATATGGTTCATAAGCACTCCAGGTGATTGTGATGCAGGTTGAGAAACACTGGCTTAACACAGACCAAAGCTTGAAAAGAGGATGTACATTGGACCTCATGAAATTGCCATTTCCTTGCCAATACCCTGGTCTTATTTGGCTGTTATGATTTTGTCTCCTTGTAAATAATCTCATGTAGACTAATCTCTTTAGTTGTGTTGAAGCATAACTGTAGATAAGGTCCTGTTTTCATCAGATGTTCTGAGGTGGTAATTATACTGGTGTCATCCCTGTGGAAACCCAGTGATCATAGTATACTGCTCTAGTTGTGTAACCCTTGAGTTTCCCGACAAGACAGAGCCCAGTTAAGGTTTCTTCCTCTTTTTTGATTTTTACTTCTTTTCTCTTTAATTGCTTAGCTAGTGCTTCTTGTGTTATTTATATAAGGGTATCTCTGATGGCAAGAGGATTATTACTCAAATAGAAAAATGAATTTTATTCTAAGATCTATCTCTATTACATGTTTTCTGTTGTGGGAAGTAACTGTTGGAAATACGACATTTGGGGGCAGCACCAGAAAATTCAAGTAATAGCCATTTAGAAAGTATCTTTTTCCCCCCCCCCCTTTTTAGGACATGAAATCTGCTGTGATCACACCTTGCAGTCATTTCTTCCATGCAGGGTGTCTCAAGAAATGGTTGTATGTCCAGGAGACCTGCCCTCTGTGCCACTGCCACCTTAAGAACTCCTCCCAACTCCCAGGATTAGGAACTGAGCCAGTTCCACAGCCTGATGCTGGACCTGAGCAAAACATAGTGCATCCGGAAGGGACTGAACCCTCAGATCAGGAGCAACCTGGAGGGACCAGCATTCAAGAAGGTCCTGGTGACAATAATGAGTGCTTTGCCAGAAGATCACATAGCGAGGAAGGGACTTTTGATCCCAAGGAATATCCTCTCAGTGCAAAAGATGAAGCATGTCCTGTTGCAGTCAACCTAGATGAAAAGAAGTAGGAATAAGCCTTCAACATTCTAGAGGAGAGTTAACTCAAGATGGAATTTATGCTCAGATTTGAGGGATATAGAGGTGATCAGGCAGGAAACGGACATTCCAAGGATCTGATCCAGGATGTGCTCTCAGTGGAGACCACCTGCTTCATCTCCTTGACACTGGGAAAAATTTAGCAGTGTATGCTAATCAAAATGCATTTATATATTCTATGCTGATGTTCTGTAGAGGTTTGCCAAGAAAATTCAGCTTCAACAACTTCAGAAACTGCCCCTGATTTGTAAGCAGTCAGTCAGATTTGAGTGTCTAGAAGGGGCTAAGGAAAGGTAGATGAAGCAAAAGCATGAGGACAGCATGGGAAGAAGTAGCAGGAGGAAGTAGAGCAGACATTTCACTTTCTGTGGGACAGGATCATTTTTGTTAACAAAATTTGAGTAGTTACTAGCCCTTTTTCTCCACCCCCTTTTTCCTCAGTTAGTTGGAATTCAGTCAGGTGATTTTGAGTTTTTGTACAGCACTGAAATGAAATCAAAGATGTAAAGGCATTGATTGTATTCAAAGATTGAAGCACACTCATACTTTGGATGTGCTTTAGGGGAGGGGCGGGTGGGCACTTGGGCCTTGCGGGGTGCATTCATGTAATCTGAGACTCTTGAACTTCATGATGGAGTCTTCAATATTTTGATGTATATGAAACTTTTGTTAATATATTGTATACTGTGTTGGCTGTGTGAAGTAAACTAAAACTCTAATGAACACTTTGGAGTCTACTCTAGTGTAGGAAACCCAAGTGGGAAGGGCTTTAGGGCACTGAGGAAGGCCCTAGGTGTACTTTTCAATCCTGTGTAATGTTTAATTCTTGCAACTGGATCAAAAACAGTGTTAAATTATGGCAATATTTGCATTTTGGGAATGAGTACATAACTGTATGATCACACTCTGCAAATGCCACTTTTAAAACTGTTAATAGACTTTGCACCTTTTCTTTGACAAGGTTGTGTCATATTTAAATTTTTACATTCATCATGGCTACAGGTAGAACTGGGGAGGGGGGAATGAAATTTTTTATGGGAATTTTGATATGAAAAGAAATTAGTCATTTATTTATACAATAGGCTTGGCTCAAAAAGTGTTTTTCAGACTTGGTATTCCTAATGTGGGATGTGACTTTATTTTATTTTTAGTAGTAAATTTGAATGTAGACTGACAGACATAGCTGAATGTCTTAATAAATTTAAATTTGAAGATAATTACGATTTCTCCTGTGGTGATTATTTTTAAGTGTTTCAGTGAAATCCTGTTCTTGAGAGCTTACCTTGAGAGGTTTTTTCAGAGGACAGCTGGTTGGAAGGGACCAACCAGTGTTCTACACCAGTGGTGTCACACCTAGCTCTGTGTCTCAAGCATCTGAGGAGCTTTTTAAAAGTTTTACATTTCTGAGCCCCCTCAGACCTGCTGACACAGCCTGTGGGACTGTCTGGGAAGGTGCGTTGCAGATATTCCAAGATGATTCTGGCATCAGCACAATTTTGTGTTTAGAAAATAAGTGGCTAGACTAGAATTAACTTCTCTCCAAGTGTAGCTGGTTTCTCACCACCCTCTTGGTGCCATGCAAGGCAGGAAAAAAAAAAAAAAAGTAGTTGGCTCCCTCTAGTGGTAATAAAGCTGTTGTTCAAAGACATAAAAAAAAAAAAAAGCCCATACTCCCTGCCATCAAGTTGATTCCTACTCATAGTGTTCCCCTTTGGGTTTCCAAGGTGGTAAATCTTATGGAAGTAGATTGCCCAGTCTTCCTTCCACAAAGTGGCTGGTGGGTTTGAATTGCCAGCCTTCTGGTTAGCAGTCAAATGCCTTAGGTAGGGATTTCTAATTTAAAGTATCAATTTTTCTGTCTTTGTGTAAAAGGTATGCTTTCAGCTGTAAACTTTTGTGCCCTGTTTGAAGGACTAAAGTTGCAGTCCTTTATGACATGATTAGTTTGGCTGCCCTTTAGCATTTAGGCTGTTTGAGATTTTGTTTATTCTACTGACCAAAGTTGGTAATGGATATAGTCTCATATAGTGATAAGAAAAAGCACTCGGATGTTTTAGTAAAAGGAAAGACTTTCTTTGGCATCAGTAACACATTATTATATACTTTTTACCTCCTGATGGCAAGTAGATCTCAATTCTGCACTAAGTCATATGTAAGCCTCTTGGTTGGGCAGCTTATTGGACAAGTACCAGTATTTATTTGCTTCACTCAGGAGAGCTGTTATGGTGTAATAACAAAAACCCTCAAAATCTCAGTGGCTTTAAAACAAAGTTTCTATCTCATACTATGTACATATCCAGTTGCCAGCTGGCAGGGGTATACTATTTGGCGTAGAAGTTTAGGATGGAACAGCCACTATCCAGAACATTCCTGATGATCATGACAAAGATGAAGGGCTCAGGGAAGACTGTACCAGCCATTACATGCTCTGCCCAGGAGTGGACTCTTGTCACTTGTGTTAACCAGCCCCTGGACAGAACTATGCCTGTGCCCCTACTAACCCCAAGAGGGTGTGGAACTTCAATCTTCCTCCCATGGCATAGCTTGGAAGGAACATGCCAGTGAGCAGTGCTGATGATGACTACCACCCTCTTCATTAGAGCAACAATGAGTCTTGCACATTGCTCAGAATTTGGGAGTGCACATATGAATGGTTCAAAACCAGCTGAGTAACTTAACTTCCTTGTTCCTTGTTTTAAGACTCTGTGATAGTAACATTGTGTAATGCCATTAAGTTTCTATTTTTCAGTCATTTTTTGTTATAGTTTATAAATCACTGCCAGACTTTCTGATGTATGAAGAAAGCAGCTAATTTATACCACTGATAAGAAAATTAAATTCCCCTTCTGTTATCCTTGATCAAATAAGTGACAAAATATTAAATGTCTTAGGAGCTTTGTTGATTTAATTACGTTCATGACCTTAAGAGATTTGACATCAGAGTTAGTACTAAGCAGTCTAAACCGTCAAACTCGTGAGCAACATATTTTGCCACTTTGTGTTGTCATTTGGTTCACAAAAAGTGTTTTAGTGATCTAGAGCATGCTGTTTTCATAATGCGTATCCAGAAGCCTGGTTTTCAGACACTGCATTGAACAGGAGGATTGCTCAAGTCATACATCAGGACTTGGGTGTTTTCTCTTAAGAAAACCATGTTTCCATGGGCATGTTACATTAAGAACTTTTTGAGGTATGCCAATTGTAGTGTGGGAGCTCTGGTGGCGTAGTGCCTAAGGCACTTGACTGTTAACCAGAAAGCTGGCGGTTCAAATCCACCAGCCACTCCTCGGAAGGAAGATGGGGCAATCTACTTCCGTAGTGATACTGCCTCAGAAACCCAAGGAGGGGTCACTATGAGTCAGGTCCGACTCGTCAGCACATAACGACAACAACAATTGTAGTGTGATAGATTAGTGGGGGAAGGAAAACCCAGTTTTCTAATTTAAAAGGGAGGGCTTTTTTTTTTTTCTTCCATAGTAAGGAGCACCTTATAGATAAAGAGTAAAAGCAAAAAAAATTTACACCTTACTTTCTTTGACACTGGCTTTCTTAGACTTGTTTCTCCAATTTTAGAATTAAAGCAAAGGTAGGAATTACAAGGTTTAATTATGTTTATATGCTTTAAAAATTTTTTTTTCCCTCAACATTGCTTATTATTTGGAAAATTATTTTAAAAAGAATGAAACTTACCCATAATCTCACTTTGGGAAACAGCTTTTCGAATTACTTTTCTATTCAATGATAGCAGACCTCGCCTTATAGACACACACACACACACACACATACATACACAGGCATCATTATCACTTCCCTTTTTAAAGTCTACTGCCTGACCACTTGGCCTCTGAAATTCAAATATGATTCAAACAATTTTGTAATTCATCAGTTAAGACGCACCTGTTCCTCCTACCTTTGAAGGTAGAGAACGATATGGTTTTTAAAAATAGGGTCACATGTTACAGCAATACTTGTTTAGTAAATAAGTAATCCTAAATACTAAGAGCAGTGTGTAGAACTAGTTCTCCATGTGGCCACTCACAAAAATTCTTTTTTTCCTCCTCCAGTGGACTCTATTCAGTTGCAGTATGTGGACAAGGTTCAGAGTAAAGGTAAGATGCTTCTAGTGAAAGCATAGTAAATCCTGCTTCCATGTTCATTTTCGTAGCTCTTACTAACACTGATGTTGATATTCCCTAACTCAGCTATATTTGATGAACGTTAAGTTGGTTGGCTTTCTGCCACCCCGTATTTAATAGTATAAATAACTCCTTGCCTTTCTATTATTTTATATACTCTAAGCTAAGGGAAGGAGCTCTGGTAGCATAGTGCCTAAGGCACTTGACTGCTAACCAGAAGGCTGGCGGTTCAAACCCACCAGCCACTCCTCGGAAGGAAGGTTGGGCAATCCTACTTCCGTAGTGATAACTGCCTTGGAAACCCAAGGAGGGGTCGCTATGAGTCAGGGCCGACTCGACGGCAAATAACAACAACAACAACAAGAAGCTAAGGGAAAGGTCCCTGGCTGGTACAAACAGTTGAGTTTGACTGCTAACCTGGACGGTTTGAGTCCACACAGTGGCACTGCCAAAGAGCGGCCTGATGATCTTCTTCCATTAAGATCACAGCCAACACCACTACTGAATGCTCTGATCGGTATCACAATAGAAGGTCCTAGACAGACAGGGAAGAAAAAAAATGTTGAACAAAATTCAAAAACATAAAAAAGACCAGACTTACTGGTCTCATAGAGACTGATAGAACCCTCAAGACTGTGTGGCCTTTAAGCTACCCAGAGGGACCGAGTAGTTGAACCTGTGAGCTCGGGACCATAGTTGCAGAGGACATCAAGCTCAATTGTCATGACATACTACACAAAACATTGTTCCACCTCCTACTTTGGCAAGTAACGACGGATCTTCAAAGCTTGGAAGCTGCCATCTAGATGCAACGATGGGTCTCTACTCGTCCAGAGCAAAGAAGAATGAAGAAACCAAAATTCATGGAAACAATCAGTCCTAGCAACTGGTACACCATCCGATCTGCAGCCTATACAG